CATTGCTGTGGATCTGAGGTGCCTGCTGGGGACGGTGTTTGGAGGGTTTGGCGGGTTTTGGAGGGTTTGGAGCGTTTGGAGAGTTTTGGAGGGTTTGCGGGCTGGCAAACGGCAGCCTAGGGTGCATGTTGGGGAAGGTGTTTGGAATTTTGGAAGTTTGGATCCTTTGCAGGCTGGCAAACGGCAGCTTTGAGGCCCATAGAAAGTCATTGCTGTGGATCTGAGGTGCCTGCTGGGGACGGTGTTTGGAGGGTTTGGCAGGTTTTGGAGGGTTTGGAGGGTTTGGAGAGTTTTGGAGGGTTTGCGGGCTGGCAAACGGCAGCTTTGAAAGCCTAAGAAAGCCAGCTTTGAAAGCCCATAGAAAGCCATTGCTGTGGCCTGGCCCTGGGGTGCCTGTTGGGGAAGTGGCCTTGGCCCTAGGGTGCTTGTTGGGGAAGGTGTTTGGAATTTTGGAAGTTTGGATCCTTTGCAGGCTGGCAAACTGCAGCTTTGAGGCCCATAGAAAGTCATTGCTGTGGCCATGGCCCCCCAAACTGAAAGCATCAAGAAAGTCATTGCTGTGGATCTGAGGTGCCTGCTGGGGACGGTGTTTGGAGGGTTTGGCGGGTTTAGGAGGGTTTGGAGCGTTTGGAGGGTTTGGAGAGTTTTGGAGAGTTTTGGAGGGTTTGCGGGCTGGCAAACGGCAGCTTTGAAAGCCTAAGAAAGCCATTGCTGTGTGGCCTGGCCCTGGGGTGCCTGTTGGGGAAGTGGCTTTGGCCCTAGGGTGCATGTTGGGGAAGGTGTTTGGAATTTTGGAAGTTTGGATCCTTTGCAGGCTGGCAAACTGCAGCTTTGAGGCCCATAGAAAGTCATTGCTGTGGCCTTGGCCCCCTGTTAAGGCAGCTTTGAAAGCATCAAGAAAGTCATTGCTGTGGATCTGAGGTGCCTGCTGGGGACGGTGTTTGGAGGGTTTGGCGGGTTTAGGAGGGTTTGGAGCGTTTGGAGGGTTTGGAGAGTTTTGCAGAGTTTTGGAGGGTTTGCGGGCTGGCAAACGGCAGCCTTGAAAGCCTAAGAAAGCCAGCTTTGAAAGCCCATAGAAAGCCATTGCTGTGGCCTGGCCCTGGGGTGCCTGTTGGGGAAGTGGCCTTGGCCCTAGGGTGCATGTTGGGGAAGGTGTTTGGAATTTTGGAAGTTTGGATCCTTTGCAGGCTGGCAAACGGCAGCTTTGAGGCCCATAGAAAGTCATTGCTGTGGATCTGAGGTGCCTGCTGGGGACGGTGTTTGGAGGGTTTGGCGGGTTTGGGAGGGTTTGGAGCGTTTGGAGAGTTTTGGAGGGTTTGCGGGCTGGCAAACGGCAGCTTTGAAAGCCTAAGAAAGCCATTGCTGTGGCCTGGCCCTGGGGTGCCTGTTGGGGAAGTGGCCTTGGCCTTGGGGTGCCTGTTGGGGAAGGCGTTTGGAATTTTGGAAGTTTGGAGCCTTTGCAGGCTAGCAAACGGCAGCTTTGAAATTCATAAAAAGTCTCATTGCTGTGGCCCTGGCCCTGGGGGTTTGGAATTTTGGAGGCGTTTGGAGCCTTTGCGGGCTGGCAAACGGCAGCTTTGAAAGCTCATAGAAAGTCATTGCTGTGGCCCTGGCCCTGGGGTGCCTGTTGGGGAAGCTGCTTAAGGGTAAAGGTTTGGAGGGTTTGGAAGAGGACAAGGTCCACACCTGCGGTGGTCCCAGGCGCCGCCCCGGCCTTGGCGAAGGCCGGGGTCGGCGGATTACCCTATCATATAATGGTACCATAGCAATGATATGATATAGATCATATCGTATTATCTTATCATATATATATATTAATAGAAGAATATAGTATATACATACATTGTATCTATCATACTATTACTCATCTTATCTACGACACCGTTACTACACCCTATAAACTATACCATATATCATCCTATCTTATCATGCACTAAATTTATCATAACAAGTGCTGTATCATATTATTCCCACACACTAGTGCTTATACACTATATGATCCACTACATGCTAACTTATCCGTACTAAACACTAACTTATACACCACTAAGTTGCACTATTAAGAAAAAGTACTAATAAATTAAATTAACTTATGCTATAGTGATACACTGTTTCTACTATAGTAATAGGACTTATAGAATTTCTACTATACACTGCCTATACACAATATCATACACTATACACTACTTATTCACTGCTACTTACACTAGCACTACCAGCTACTAACCTTAACCTACATAACAGTAATACAAGTAGTGCTATTATGCACCATACTTTTACACGGATAGACATAGTATAACTATTAACGTATAACTACACTATCACTACACTATCACTACACTATCACTGCACATATATACATATATATATATAATATAATATGTATGTATATATATATATATATATGTTTGAATATCCGCACTATAGTAGCACTACTAAAACCAAACGAGTTGATCCCAGGCGCCGCCTGGGCCTAGACCAGCGCTTGGGTGCTCGCGGGAGTGGCCATGCTGAGCGCGGGGCGGATAGGCCGTCGCGGAACGGAGTCGGTCCTCAAACCCCGGGGAGGATAGTTGACATGGACTTATGGCTGGTGAACTTGGGATTTTAGGCAAGTTATAGTCAGTGAGGTTGGGATTTGATGCAATCTATGGTCAGTAGAATCAGTAGAATTTGGATTGATGCGGAGTGATTTTTCTGTGTTGTGCCCTTTATCTACCCTCTGGTAAACTAACATAACGATGGAAAATCACCATGCTATTAGTGGGTAAATCAACTATTTCGACTGGGCCAGAATTTCAATAGCTTTTTGTATGTTTACCATGTCGGGTACATGGTGCTTTTCTGGGTATCCCAGATCCGCTGTTTCTTCGGTCGTGCTCGGGCTCAAAGCCAGGAAAGTGGTCGAGGGATGGCTAAGGCAGCTGGCTGAGGCGGGAGCTGGTGATGGCCCAACAAATGGGAATGGTACTAAATACATCTAAATACCATGGGAAGGATCACTATAAGTGGTTAATCTATGGTTATAATTAGTGGTTAATAGTGGTTAATATGGTGATAAGATTAATGCCTGGTTAATGTGGGTAACACAATGTCATAAACCTCCCATTTGGGAATGGTAACCATACCACCTATAAAAATGGTGATTCAGGGGATGGTTTATTATTGTTTTACCAATATTAAATACCTATATATTCATCCCTTCCCCCGGATACGAAATGCCGCCAGAAAACCTTCATTTTCGGGGCCCGGTCACGCGGGGTGTTTCATATTAGAAAAGGGAATGAAATTACTGTCATACCAAATTTTGGGGATGAACATCCATGAGCAACAGCTATTTGAATGTGAACAAAAAGGTCATCATCATCGAACTTGGCGGTCATAATATTTTCCATAGGGAAAGCGAAGTGGTTTGGGGGGTACCCTATTTTTAGTTTTAAACACCCATGTGAATCAACATTGGGGTAGCAATGGACCATAATGAACCCACACACTTACACCATTTTTTTGTGACCTTCTGGTACTTGAAACTGACATTGGAAAGTCCCCAACTTTGTACTGGGCCATTCTCAGAGGTGAATTCACCTGTTGTTTATAGTCCATTACACAATTCATGCTGCAAAATCGGGAAAAAACATGATTTTGACACATTGCTAAAGTCACACCCCTTTCGATGGTTCTGGCAAAAAATCTTCTTCGCAGGACTATCCCGAGGATTTCTGCAACTTGTGCCTTGGCTGCCTTGGAGCTGAGCTGGCTGCCTGGGCTGATTCGAAAAAATCACCAGCTGGCTCGCTCCTTTTAGACTTTTAGGTTCCAGGAAGGTTCAAAGCCTGATTTTTTTTTGACTTGCTTGTCATTGCTGGTCTTCACTCCATGTTGGTATGAGTCAGAATGTTGAACTTCCAAAATGTAGAGTGCATTGGGTACCCCATTAGCCATTGGAGATCTTCAGGATCCAACAGATGGAGGTGTACCGTATTTCAGGCCATATGAATTGTGGGGATATTCCCTGAAATTAAGCCCTAAAAAATAGGGCTTATAGATGGTAGGTAGCTCCATTTTTTTCGGTTCCTGAAATGGCTATTGATATTAGAGATATTAGAGATATTAGAGATTTTAGAGATTTTAGAGATATTAGAGATATGGACCATATAATATCATATAATGTGGAACATATAATAGTTATCTCGCTTCCTGAGAGGTCCATTGGTGCCATTTTTTTGACCCATCTCCGGTCCCGTCCCGCAGCATCGCTTGGCATAGGTCTACAGGAAACGACCTGCTGAAAGATGTCGCCGCATTGGTACCTTGGGACCACGAAGCGCAGGGGAAGCGCGGAAAGGGTTTGCCAAGGGGGTGCATCCCACTTAGTAAATGATGTAAATGGGTTATACCATGTTGTACCCCCAGTGAATCCCAGTTATATATATACTGTATTATATATATATATGTGGGAGAATTTTGCTTATATAGAATATATTTCTATATGGATCGACCACGGATCCGATTCGTGGGATGCACATCCAAGAGAGTGTTTGTCCGGGGGGTCCCGCACATCTTGAATGATGTGAGTATCTACTATGGACATGCGAACCATAAATGATATATGGCAGTGTGTCAAAACCTTGTACCCATGGTGAACATCAAAATAGCTGGTAAATGGATGTTCATCTCACTAAAAATGGTATTAATAGGTATTGACCCATACCCATATATATACATATATATAGGCATGTAAGGCATGTATGTTCAGGGTGGAAGCCATCCATGATACTCTCGGCCGGATCGCAGGTGGCGCAAGAAGATTGCAACCCTGAGAATGCGCAGATCTGCTCAGTATGGATACCTGGAGAATTCGGATATACCATGCTGAGGCCTGTTGTCACCAAAGTGCACTAGATATAAATAGATGTATGTCTATGTGTATACATACATAATCATATACGTGTATATATACATATATACATAAACAGCTATATATATAATATACTGTAATATAATATAAGATAATATAGTTTAATATAATATAATATAATATAACATAATATAATATATAATATAATATAATATAATATAGTATAATATAATATAATATAGTATAGTATAATATAATATTATATAATATGCTATAATATAATATGTATATATATATATATGTGTGTTATACACTGTACACATGTAGAATCTGGTTAAAATAAAGGGCATTGCAGTACACAAATGTGTATCTATTCAATTATTCATGTAGGCTGTCTGACAAAGTGGGAAATAGCTTATGAATCTCTACTGTCAGTAATCCCACGTGATCCTACATGTCTAAAATATGTACACTGGAAAAATTACAACAACCTCACTGCGAAGTCACTGGAATAACTATTCCCAAATGGCCATAGATTTACACTATTCCCAAATAGATTAATTCATTAATTAATAGATAACTATGTCACTTGTTAATAGGTATTTACACTAGACATAGGTATTTACACTATTCCCATACAAGGCCTTAAAATTTCCAGGTTGGTGCATGTTGATTTATCAAAATAGAATATGTACAGTCTGGTAATTTAACATAGCTATAGAACATGGCCCATTTATAGTTGATTTACCTATCAAAATCGTGATTTTCAATAGCTATGTTAGTTTACCAGAGGGTATATATGCACAGATATATTCATAGTTTATGCTGTGTATTGCATTTGTGTATTCCTAAGGTACATGGATGAGCACCAAAAAAAGAGATGGTAAATGGATGTTCAGCTTGATGTTTATCCCCATGTCTCAGGGGTGCTTTTGGTTACACTACTCGATGTAACCATAGGGATTGCCCCGAAAAAAGTTGGGATATAGCCCCTTAAACTATAGATATCATTATATATATATATATCCAACTATACTTGGAGCTGCAGCTCCAAGTAGAATTGATGGTGGAATTGTTCAGATAAAATCCCGTCCTAATGATCTGAATTGGCAGACCGTTCAACTTTCATTTGACGGGATTTGACGGGTAAATTAGAGTGACCTCACTTTGACCTCACTGAAATAACGGTTAGGATTCGGGGAGACATATGGGGATGGGTCAAAACCCTGGTACCCCTGGTGAACATCAAAATAGCTGGTAAATGGGTGTTCATCCCACTAAAAATGCTATCTATAGGTATTGACCCATATTCATATTTTCCTATGATTTTCTCATTGAATACGTCGTATTTTTTTTCGAGTGGAAAAAATCCCAGATTTGATCCCTCCGATCGCTCACAAAACAAGGACTTCTGGGCCAGAACCTCAGTTACTGGTGTTTTGGATGGGATGTGAGCCATAAAGATTATACATCTAAGGGGCTTGAACCAACAACAATAGTGGATTCATGTATATATATATACATATATACATATTTGATATAATGGGAGAATGATGACCTTACCCTCTAGTTGTGACTTAAATATTAGTTTGCGAATTGAAGAATGACAATTGAAATATTCGCTAAATCATCATCAATCATCTATTTCTGTGATTTCTATGAGCAATTTCCATAGATTTGCATCGACATGCTTTTAAACTACTGTAAATTATCTACACGAATAGGTGAGAACTGCTGATTTTTAGTAATTGTGACATATCCACATCTATATAGCACACATTTGCATATATATATAGATATGAAGAATTAACATATGTTACACATTGATATATATATATATACACTACATGCATACAGATACTTCATGCTTCTTGGAATCGCACTTTGGCATGGCCACTTTTGATGTTCTGCACCTCCAGGCGTTTTCCTTCGACGGTAAACCGCATTCTCCCTCCAGATTTTAATCATTAATACATCCTCATTCCTATATAGACATATACATACATATCGTTATTAATATTATTATTTATATTATTATTATCATTATTGTTATTATTATTATCATTATTATTTACGCTATATGTATATATATATATATACACACATTATTCTTCCCATTGTATCAATTTTCCGTGAAAAATGCGCTTCAGCAGGTACTGCGACTCCATGGGAATCCCATGAAAGTGGAAGATTGGCAGCGACGACGGGCCTGGCTCAGCCGTTCAGGTCCCAGCCCCCGACATTTTTTCGATGCCGAAACGAAACGGAAAGCTTGGAAAGCATGGGAAAATCACGGGAAAATGATGGGACATGATGGAAAATCATGAAAAAAATACGGGAAAACATATGGGAAAATGATGGGAAAATGATGGAAAATGATGGGGAGATGATGGAAAATGATGAGAAAAAAATGGGAAATGATGGGAAAATTGTGGGGACACCTTTTATGATGGACAATAAATAATTATACTGCGTGAACCATGATAAACCATCCATGTTATTGTTCTCTAGTAGACAATTCCGTTAATAAACCATTATTATATATCTTTAATTCACCATTCGTAAACGTAAACCATCAATTAATTGTGTATTCATTCATTTTTAATCATTGAACATTTAAACACTAACCATGAACAATTTAAACCATGAAATAACCATCTAGACACTAGCCATCCTATTTTACTTCACGCTTTTGGGCGACCTTTGGTGGTTACAATTTTTAGCCACCTGCGAGGCCATCTTTGGCTGGGACCAGCTGCGGGTGAAGGACAGCCGCGGAAATGAGAAGGTTGTGGATTCATTTTTGGGGGGATTTTGAAGTGTTGAACTCAGCAAAAGTGGAAATGAACTAACAATACTATGGAAAATCGCCATTTTTATTGGGTAAATCAACTATTTCTATGGCCAGAATTTCAATAGCTGTTTGTTTGTTTGCCAGGCCGGGTAGAGGTTTCATCCAAAACATCGACCCGTTTTTTCGGAGTGACAGCCATGGGGACTTGGGAGTGTTGAAGTAGTTAGTTTGGGTGAATTTTGTTTGGAACATCATCCAGCTAAATGGTGAATTTTGATGAATCTGCCAACATGGAGATGTGAGTTATGAACATCAACAGTGATTTAAACATCAAGAGTTCTGATTCAATCGTAAAAATGGTGATTAAGGCCAGCAAGAATGGTGACTTAGCACCGCACACAGTCAATCATATAAGTAACAGCAATGCTGATTTGAATAAAGAAAGTCGGCTTCAAGCAAGACACATCAACAAACCATGAAATTTACGCTATATATTATGTATTATGTATATATATCTTTCTTTGTATAACGTACAACGATCTGACAGGCTCACCAGCACCAACTCACGGTCTTCAGACATGTTCATTTTCAGTTCTCCCACGTCCGGAATTGGTTCAAGAACCCTTACTGGAAAAGGAATCCTCCATATTTCATGCTGAGATGTCCAATGATTTTTATGGCCTCCAGAAAGATGGAGGATTGGTGTACAAGATGTTATGGGACATGACATATCCATCTAAGTATCCAGTGATCTTCCTTTCTGATTTCCAATGATCACTGGATAGAAAGATTCATATAGAAATAATACATTCATAAACATTCAATATCTGATGTGGTATTCAGTTTCTTAATATACAAACTGGTTGGTGGTTTCAAATATTTTTTTATTTTCCATTTCATATATGGGATGTCATCCTTCCCATTGACGAACTCCATCATTTTTCAAGATGGTTATTGCACCACCAACCAGTTATTCACCTTATTATCCATTATCCAATGGGTAAATCCACTATAAATCACCATGCTATCAATGGTAAATCCACTATAAATCACCATTTTCAATGGGTAAATCCACTATTTGTATGGAAAATCCACTATAAACTATGGAAAATCACCATTTTTAATGAGAAAATCCACTATTTCTATGGCCCAGAAAGGTTCAACCGCTTCAACCGGTTCAAGCGGCACGTTCGCGCCCTCAGGAGGGGCGTCCCTGCAGCTCAGTGGAGATTTGGTGCGGGATCCAGCAGTCGTGGACAAGCCATGTGAGTGGCATGCCCTATGTTGGATGATGATTGATATGCTCAAAACGAACATTTAAAAACATTAAAAAAACAATGATGATGATGATGATCATCATCATCATCATAATAAATTGACTACTGTGTATATATATATAATTGAATTATAATTAGCTATATATTTCTTTTGAATTGTTAAGACCACACGCCAGTCTCCATATACTCATCATACTTATATAGTGTGCATTGGAAAAAACGGGGACGTGGACGTGTTTAGCCATGGGGGTAGCCCAAGAGCTGGATGGTTTATGAAAATCCCATCTATAAATGGATGATAACTGGGGGTCTCCATATTTTAGGACACCTCCATTTTCCCCTTTTTATTTGGGATGATGATCCAATTTTGAGGAGCACATTTTTCGGATGTGTTGACACCACCATTTTTTGGTGTCAGATGCGTTTCGATGTTGACTTTTGATAGTTTTGAAGAGTATGTTGTTTCCTTCCCTTTTGTTCTCATTTTCTAAAGCTGCGGGATGAATGCATTGCTAAAACGTCAGTTCCTTAGAAACGCATCAGTTGTATGTGTGTGTGTGCCGGAAAAAATCGGGCCTTTAAACTTTAAGACTTATGGTTGATAGCACGTCACTCCAAACACACTGAGGGACCAGACAAAAATTTACACTGCACTGTACTAATACCCCACAATCCAACTCATACAATGTCACATCATGTGATGGGATGCCTTAACATACTACCATGGTAATTATGCATCAGTAATCTGCCATGCCCTGTCACGTCACGATTATCCGCGTCTACAGGATCTATGCTAGAACATGTCCATTGGCCGCTACAAATTGCAGTGTCACTTTCTCTGTCTTTCTCTTATGTTGATTGTGCAACCTGGTCGTTTGAGGGAAAACGACAGGACACCTTTTAGTTTAAGTATGCAAGCAAAACAGTTATTTCCCGCCAACACCTGGTTTTTCTGAACATTTGCCCCAAAGTTTTTGTCAGAGCAGCTCTCTCTCTCTCTATAACTGGGTTTTCCTGTACATTTTTCCGTAAACTGCTTCGAGCATTGTCCCATGTGCACCATGGCTTTTCCTTGTCTGGATTTGCTTGCAGTTGATGCTTGCTTGTACTTGTTTGCCAAAACTCTCTTGCTTGCCTTTGTGCTTGGGCTTGTTCTTGTTGTACAGCCTTCCAAGATATGTAATTTTCGAAGCATCTCTGACAAAATTGCTGTTTCTGTATGCAATTGTCTTTTCACTCGGCAAGGGACAACCGCGCGATGTGGTCTGTCAACTGCTATTCTTAGTGTGACATTTCCCTGGCATACGGCCAGTACATTGTAGTTAGCTGTGTGCTTTCCATTCTCGGTTCACACCCCTTCTGACACCTCGTACCCCCCTGAACCGGGAAGGGGCGTTGGTGCTGCGACTTCGCTCGCGCACGATTCCGTCAAACCCTGGGCTGTTTTCGAACATCAGGAGATGCTTATCAATAACATGGTCCGTTTTGGATTTATGGTCATTTATGGGATGACCATCTTCCAGTTACACGCTGGTTTATAAACCCATCTAAATAAGTAGTTTATATATTCACACATAAATATAAATAAATAAATATATATATGTACACACACACATATATATATATAAGTACCACATCAAGCACGTTGGTCGCCGTCTGCATCGTCAGGTCTCCAACTGGTGGGTCATGAGGGCTCGCCGGGATTTCGTCGAGGTGGGAGAACAAGCTGCCTGGATGGCGTCTGTTGAAACAAAAAGGACGTCTATAGTCCCATTTTATATCCATTTATAGGGATTTGCAGGGATATATATATATATTATGTATATATATATAATGTATATATATATTATGTATATGAAGGCTTCTAGCTGGGAAAATCATGTATAAATAACGGATTTTCCCGTACGCCATGTTTATGACCCAGAGGGCAATCAAACAAACATTATTATGAAACACAGGAATAGTTGAAACAACATTGTAGTGGAACGATGTTGAACAACCTTAATCTATTGCAAGAAATGGAAAGACATTGGAATGTATTGAGCTCAGCATCTAAGTTTGGCCATGGCGGCGGGTATACATCTATGATGGGAGGCCATCTATGATGTGAGACCCCCCCTTAGCCAACCAGTAGAACTCAGCTGATCATCAAAACGACAAGATGCAGCCCACGAACCCGAATGTAGTCACGTAGAACATCTTGTGAAACAAGTTATTTGAACAGTCTTGTACATTCTTCCCCTGTTACCATGCCAGTGCACTGTAGACTGTGGAATGCGGAAGGGGTGGAGCGCAAAATGTGGAGTGTGGAGTGTAAAGTGTAGAGTGTAAAGTGTGGAGTGTATAGTGTAAAGTGTAGAGTGTAAATTGTAAAGTGTGGAGTGTGGAGTGTTGAGTGTGGAGTGTAAAATGTAAAGTGTAGAGTGTAAAGTGTGGAGTGTGGAGTGTGGAGTGTAAAACGTAGAGTGTGGAGTGTAAAGTGTAGAGTGTAGAGTGTGGAGTGTGCAGTGTAGAGTGTGGAGTGTGGAGCGTGAAGTGTGGAGTGTGGAGTGTAGAGTGTGGAGTGTAGAGTGTGGAGTGTAAAGCGTAGAGTGTAGAGTGTAAAGTGTGGAGTGTAGAGTGTGGAGTGTGAAGTGTAGAGTGTAAAGTGTAAAGTGTGGAGTGTGGAGTGTAAAGTGTAAAGTGTAAAGTGCAAAGTGTAAAGTGTAAAGTGTGGAGAGTAGAGTGTGAGTGGGGAGTGTCATGACATGTCACAACATGCCACGGATTTTGATGGATTTTGCACACTGCCACCACTTGACGCAGCCCTGACAATGGGATTCGCAAAAAACACGCAACAAGACACGTCTAAAGTGCTACGCTTGCCACGCAAAATCAAGATGGACACATTCAAAGTGCTGTGCCTGCCACCTAAAATGCAATTCATCTTCTGAAAGCCTTGCAAAAGTATTGCGCACGTCACACAAAACGATTGTCGACACTTTTGCAGACACGTGAGAATATTACCAAGTGCCACACCGGCCACGCAAAACGACATGACAAGACACGGCGACGGCAGAAGAAAACCAGAGAATCGAGAACGATATGTAGGAGCCTCAAAACGAGCATTTCGTGCGAGACGTCCTCCAATTTTCATACTTTGTAGCTTTAAACTTTTCATTTTCCTACGAGTTTTCTCATGAACCTCAAAATTTGCTACATCAAAATCGATGTTTCGTGCGAGGCTTCCGTCACTTTTCAGCACATCTCACAAAATGCCACGCCCGCCATGGAATTTGCACGTTGTCGCCACGTCACGCAGCCCTGACAATGCGATTTGCAAAAGCACGCAACATGACAAGTCTAAAGTGTTGCGCCTGCCACGCGAAATGACGATGGAGGTCGCCAAAGTGCTGCGCTTGCCACGAAAACTGCAACTCATCTTCTGAAAGCGATGCAAAAGTATTGCGTCTGCCACACAAAACGATTTTTGACACGGTATGAAACACGTTGGAATGTCACAAAGTGCCACGCTTGCCACGCAAAACGAGACTACGCGACGTCTGAAACTTCCAAAAGTGACCACTGTGCCATAGGCACGGCCATAGGGACCTCACGCGGACGGTTGCGGACGGTTGTGACCTTAAACCCCACGTCGAGCGAACACACCCTCAACCCCAGACCCCCGGAGTGAAACGGGAACCCTTGCTACGCATTCGGGAAAAGGGTCAACGGGTCAGCCAGAAATGTAGAATTTATCAGCAATCATGGGAGCAATTGCCCAACAATTTCAGGGCAAACAAGCGACAATCTCCTTTATTTAGTGAGATAGGGATGGTTAAGGTCCCACAAATTGGGAGCAGAGGCAATTTTTTTCAAGTAAATGCGGACTCAAGTGGCAAAACATGGAGAGATATAACCAACCAAGATGGTGAATTAATCAAGATAAAAACGGATTTCCTAAAAGATTGAGTGCCCCCAGATCATCCATTTATAGGTTAACCATCCAGCTATTGGGTACCCGGGTGCCCCCATAGCTATGGAAACCCCAATGGATTCAGACCTTCGGCGCGTTCAGACCTTGGACGAGAGCCGCGTCTATGCCTTTAGCATCAGCTCACCTGTGGCCAAGCCCAAGACTCAGCCGGGCAGCACACGGCTATGGCAATGGATATGGGTCAAAATTGCTCCCCCAAAATTGAACTGGTTGGTGGTTTCAACGATTTTTTATTTTCCATTTCATATATGGGATGTCATCCTTCCCATTGACTCATATTTTTCAAGATGGTTATTGCACCACCAACCAGTTATTCACCTTATAATTGGTCGGATGGGACCACCATTTGACCCATCTCTGAACAAAAGGTTTTGGTTTTAAGGTTGGGCACTCTGAAACAGAAGACATCTCAGTTTCCTGTTGCGACTGATCACATATGTTTTTATCCATGGCAGGAAATGAGAATGGTAATCTCAATGTTCAGGATTTTTTATTTCAATGTTCCATCTCTTGTTCCGTTCCATGGCAATGCAAAATGCTGGTAGCAGAGGTACCCCTTCGGGCCGAAGATGGTTAATGATGTTGGTTTGAAGGACAATATAGGACAGTAAAAAAACATATGTCAATTTATGTCAATCATTGAAAAACATGGATTGACCCCTCAATAGCAGGGGTTTCTTGTGATGTTTTCCTTCATCCCATGAGAACGGTATGCGATCTTTTTCGGGCCCGAAAAACTTCAGCACGATTTCAGCCTGAGGTACCAGCGACGGAAACTGTTTGCATCGTCCAATGAAGAGTTGGTGGAAGAATGGCCTGGAAACTCAGAAGATGAGATGATGGAGTTCCTCGCGATCCATTTGAAAAAAGTGACATCATACATCATCAATATGGCCCAGATTGGGGAAATCTTCTGACATTGTGAAACAAAATGACCTCCAATAAGGTTTGGGATTAAGTCTATTATAGATTGTCGTTTTTTTAATCTGGGAGAGGCACGTCTTTTTCACGACTTCACTGTGGTTTTATAAATATTAGGAAAAGAGGAACGAAACCAAAAATGAGACATATAATAAGGCTATGATATACTATGGTTGGTCAGAATATGATTATCATATCTTGGATGTACTACTTAGATCTACTTAGCAGATCTTGGATTATAATGAGCAATATAATATGACAATGGTTGGATATACTATTATGTAATATAATAATAAACATTCCTTCGTCATTGTATAGTCTTTGAGGAGCCGACTGCCCAGACATTTCTGAGACCTCTGGCAGACGGCCAAGATTGACTGGAGAAGCATTGAAACTAGGGATTTGAGTGAATTTTAATGGTCAAAACATGGCGAACATGTTTGATTAAGCATAATTAGTGAGGACAGATACAATGAACATGATGTCGACCTTGATTCCGGGTGTTTTGTGGTGAGAAATGGGGATTCCATGATGAGGAAATGAACAGGACAACTTGCTGAAGAGATCTTTCAAATGACCCTATAGAGACCAACTATATCCAACAGGTTTGAAGTAGAGCCCTGAAAACAGGATCCTTTCGCGCTTTATCTCCAAGTATCTACTGTACATGGAGGTTTCCTAAAATGGGGTACCCGCATATCATCCATTTTACGACATTTTAAGTCACAGGATTTTCCATGAAATAAACCATGCTTTTCTTGGGGGTATCTCTATGAAGCCCCCCTAATATATATCAACCAATCGCTGCATCGCCTCAGGATCAAGCTTTGCATGACACCGCCCCGTCGCAGCTGAGGGTCCTCGATGGGCCCGGCTTGAAAATGGACGGTTTCCAACGGACAAATATATGGAAAATCCCAATCGAAAATTGATGATTTGGGGGCCCACCCCCATTTTTTTTTGGGAAACCAACAGGTCCTCAGGTTGCTTTTTGTTTTAAACTTGCTAAACCATCTACCCTCTGGTAATTTAACGTAGCTATGGAAAATCACCATTTTTAATGGGAAAACTCACTATAAATGGTCATTTTCAATAGCTATGTTAAATTACCAGAGGGTAGACCCCTATTGTTGGGGGAAACAGTGAAACAGTGTGCAATGATCTGCCGAGCCCTTTGCTTTCAGTTTCCCCAGCCTGTGCGAGATTTCGGAGATGTGCAAGGCTAACTTCCTTGGGCAAAGAAGAGATGGGCTCGTGGAAAAACCATCCTCAGGATCCGCCCATCCTAAAAGCTATGGCTACCCGACAAGCTGTGGGACTGGGTCTATTTTTCCCACATTGATTCATTGTTCACCACTGGTTGGTGGTTTGGAACATTTATTATTTTTCCATATATTGGGAATTTCCATCCATCCCAACTGACTTTCACTCCATCATTTTTCAGAGGGGTTTTAGGTCAACCACCAACCAGATATATCACTAAAAGGTCATGGATGGTTATTGTCATCCCATTTTGGAACTCGCCAAAACGGTTTTGGAACTGAGAAGCCTACGAAACCCTTTGCACGCGCATGACCATCCCCTTCGGATGGGATCCAAGAACCCCTCGCAGACGAAAAAGCCGCGCCGAAGAGCGGCGCAGACTGACTGAGACCTTTTGAGAAAAAAAAACACTCGTAGGAAGGCTGGGATGCAACTGTTCCTTGGCATATTGTATATATATATAGTACATATAATACAAAAAATACATATAATACATATGATACATATACTACATATAATGCATATATATATATATGTATATATTATATATACATGTACTCCAATATATATATATATAGGTATTGTATTATCTATTATATACATGTATGTATGACATAATTTTGTACACACTCAAATGGTGAATTTTCTCATCTCTGACATATCCTGTGAAATCGGTGTCTTACCTTACAGCTTGAGGCCGATGAAAACCCTGGTTAGCCCTGCATGCACCTGCAAATATGCTGGAGAAACATGATGTAAATTATATATATACATATACATGTTATATGGATATAGATTTAAAGAGTCTGTGCTTTATACAGTTGCAATATACCAAAGTATTTTTTGTTGTTGTATATGTATCCATGATCTTTAATTCGACCACAGATGAGAAGTACTGGATGGATTTGTCTGACCCCTGGGTTGCAAGAGTTGGTCCTTTCACAATTTTTATCATGGGTTGCATCCCAGCTAGTGGTTCATAACCCCAAGCACAGGCCATATATCACTGATAACTCATTGATCTACCTGCGGTATTCTGCATCTCTCTCTTTATATATATATATAGATATACACACTGTACAGTATAATTATCCAGACAATATTATTATTAGTGGTTGTTGGCGTGTGATCAGCCATTTGAATAAATCCTTCGTGGGCGAAGGGGGTGGGTCATCTCCAGGATTTTCAGTGGCTTTCTGCAGGGACTTTGCTCAAATTCCTTCGCAGCTCCAAAACGCTCCAGAATTTTCAGCGATTCTGCAGGTGGGGGTCCAGTGGTTCAGTGACGGGTGGAAAAAATCTCCTGTATCCTCTCGGGGTTGGCTGTGCCATGCACTACCTATACATGTCTATGTACATGTATGTAGAAGTATCATGTCATGAGGTATGCACGTGCATGTGTATATATATAATACATATATATATTATATATATATATTACATTATATATATATACGCTCACCATCTTGAACAGTTTACCGGTTTCTTGAATCGCTCAACAGGTCGGTCTATGGAGGGCAAGATACCTATATCTATACCTAGGATCTTTTGAGTGGATCTCATCAAGAATGGACGACATAGATATTTGAGACATGCTTACCTTTCCCCCGAATATGTATATACACACATACACACTCAATTTTTGTGATTTATATGATACTAAAGATATTTAGAGATGATATGTGAAATAGACTATGTTACGCAATAAATATGTATATATATATATGTGCTGTATGCATTATACATCAGATATCATCAGATTACGTTGTATATATAGATATATTTAATATATATATATATATATATACAATGTAATGTATATATAAACACTCGCCTCAGTCTTTTTTCACTAGCTTTGCAGACCACTTGTTTCAATTAAAAGATGAAAATTCGGCGAATAGCTATGTTAAGAGTCAAAAGAAGACATTCCTCAATCTTCTTCAAGGTTCAGTTTTAACACATCCCGCCACACCAGGGTAGTGCTAAACCTGACCGTGTCCCCTGGACACCCTTCGCCACACCGAAGGTCCGCCAGGCTCTAGACACCAAACTCTGACATAGCCAAAAATAGTGGAAAGTTAAAAACTACCCCCTCCCTTTCGAGTTTTTGACGCCTTTCTTTTGGTTCCACGTCCCCCAGTCCTGCTCGGCCGGTCAGGCCGAGCTTGCTCAAGCGACGGCTGGGTTAAATTTTTTTTGTATACAGAGTGAAACGGAGACAGCAGAGTTTTGGGGATTTGGAGTTCAGTTAACATGGCTAATCCTGAATTCAAATAAACCTTGGCGGTTTTGATAGCAGTCCATCTACCTGCCAAGAGGACTCTGTCTAAAGACCCGCATTTAACAAAAAGATGAGTGGCTCCACCGCGTCTCAGCGAGTAGGGCCTAAATTCCCACTTGTCAAGTTTGAGTTTAGACAAGCACTCACCAAACAAAGATCTCCAACCATGAGGTTTGAGAGTCAAGAAAGTGTGTGGAGGAACCGTTTTCTTCCACTCCCATAAAAGTTGGAGTACGGGTTGTTCTGTAAGGGTGACGCTTTCAGCGGCTCCCTGACGCGTCCCGCTTTTGGTAAGTCCTAAATTGATAACCGCAGGCTCCAAAGGTGAGTTCATATGGATTTGCCAAGCTTGAAGGCTCAGTAGTTCTCCAGTGCGTAACAGACCAAAAAATCCTACCAAAAGACTAAGGGCAAAAATAGGGTGACCTTGAAGTACGGCCCATCCAACCATAGCTTTCAGCACATCTTCTGTCATAGGGGGTGCACGCGACGGAACTTCATGAATAGCCCAAGTTTTAAGAAGGCGCCATGATCCAGGAAGACAATGTTTGAGCTTAGGATCATAATCCTGTAGTCCTGCCATAAAAGTACTAGCCGCTGCTCTGCCTTCTCCCTGGGACCAGAGAAACTCCAAATAATCGGAAACCACATCATCCATACCATCGCGTTTGCGGGGGAGGGGTAGCCCTTCATCGCGGAGGAAAGCGAAAAACTTGTTCAAACCATCTTCATATCGTTGTTTTGTTTTTGGTTGTACAGTCAGCGATCTCAAGGATCCTAATTTTTTGCGCTCTTGTTGCCTACTTTCTTTGCTACGGCTTGTTGACGTCAGACCTACTTTTTTAGCCATTTTTTGCGAACCCCCCAGCGCGACGGCTTGTCGGCTGGGTTTTGCTTGGTATCCACATAGGCCCAAAGTGGTTGCAAGCCCCTGGCTAGAAGGTAGGCTGATATGCGCATCATAGTTCTTCTCAGTTTTCTGGAGGAAGAACGTCCTCGAGTAAGGGCGTGTAAAACCACCAAACTGTCAACCAAATGAATACAACGAATGTTGGTTTGTTTTTTCTGCAAGACCCTCCATCTGATGCTAGTCATGGCTGCTCGGGCCTCCAGCACATTTATGTGCTCCACATCTCCCTTCCATTTCCAACCGCTTACAACCTTCCACCTCCACAATCGTGCTGGGAGACTGGTACGTAAACGGTGGTATTTGATAGGCACCTCTGTTTGACTCTGTAGCATGATGTCCTCTCCCTTTAATGAGATCAGCCCACACAGTTTTGCCGTCAGGCGATCACTGGGAGAAAAAGTCCTAGGACCCTGACTCAAAGGAGGGCGCAGCAACAATCCTTGCAAAGTAGAACTACAGCCGGGAGTCATGCGAAAAACCAATTCCTGCAAGGTGAGGGGCTCTACTACACCTAGAGGGATCAGCAGTTCAGACAGCAACCAGGCTATCACCCCAACGTGCCAAGAGTTCCCCACCAGGCTGAGCCTGCCTCAAGCTCAATAAGAAGTTTCAGGGCATCATCCACTAGCGGACCAATATCACTCACTGTACAAAAACTGCCTCTCTTCCCCAAGTGTCTTTCGAAAAGGCCTTGGATCTTTTGGTGAAACCATTGGGAGCCATTCTCGGTCTCTTGGACGCTCCCCTCAAAAGTATCTGAATTAAAGCTTTCATGCTGATGGGAGTCCTCCGGGGTCGGCCCCAAAGAACTCCCCTGTGCCTTCGCAGCCTCCTCACGAGCTTCGTCAATGAGTCGGTCCACTGCTTCCATGGTGATACACGTTGCCTCCTGTTGCCTCTCTTTTTGCCTCTCTTCTGAAGTCCTGCTCTCCACCTTTCTCTTAAGTGAAAACTCGCCTCTTTTCTCTTCCCCTTTGCTCAGCCCTTCATTGAAATGGGCACAGGCTTTTGGTCCATCTGAAAACATGCCTCTCAGGATTCCTTTTTCTTCTGCCATGACGCTTTACCTTCTTCTTTGCCTCCTCCGCTGGACTTGCTCTTCCCTCCATCAGATGGACCACCTTTGCCTGTACCCTTCTCTTTGCCCTTTCTTGTTTTTCCGCCACCCTGGGAGTAATCTACTCCCTTCGTAGTTGCCGCCCTGCTCACAAGATTCTTCAACCTCTCCTGCTCTCTTGCCCTACGGGCTGCTGCCCAGGCTTCTCCTTCTTCGCTGATGCCCTGGTGCTCTATGGAAACCAACTCATGTTGTCGTGCCACGGTCCAATGCCCTCCACGGGCAATGGCTTCCAGCGCTTTCAAGCGTTGGGACAACAAATCCATGCCTCCTGCAATTTTGCCTTGTGCAAAAAGTCCAAAGCGGTACACAAAGTCAAGCATTCTTGCTGAACAGCCGGTCCCATAAGGGGCATCAGCTGGCTCCTGCCGTACTGTATGAAGATAGGTGGTAAAGCGGACTTGTCAGTTCCCCACAGGGTCCCCGCCCCCGTAAGGAGGCTTTGCTTGGCCTCCCCCAAAGTCTGGGCGGTAAGGATGCCAGGGAACCGCTTCCAAATCTTTTTTACTCTCAACTCCTCATCAAACAGCCCATCAGCCTGGGAGTTAGTCGAGCTCGAGCTGCTCGAACCAGAACTCCGTTTCGAAGGAGAGCTTGAAGCGCTTTCCTTCTTTTTTCGCTTCTTCTTCTTTCTTCCCACTTTCTTCGCTTTCTTGAACAGCCGACCCCTCTTCTTCGCATCTGGATCCATTCCTGTGTTTGAAAAAACTGCCTTCAACTCTTTCTGCCCTGCCTCCAGCTCTTCAGAATCCTTTTTGGGAGACTCTTCTACTCTCCCTTCGCCTTGCCGCTTCTCTTCCTTCTTTCTCTTTTTCTCCTTTGGTTCTCCAGCTCGATCACCTGCCAACTTCTCACGTCGCTCTTGCTCTGCCCGAAGCTTGGCCAGCTCATCTTCGCCTTCTACCTCTTCACGTACATCCTCCAAAGATGTCAGCCAAGGTAGCCGCTTCAGGTCAATGGTCTGGAACGTCTTGCTATGGATCAGATCTTCATCAGTTACCGCCTGACTACAATCTTCACCACACAAGTGGACGCTCAGGTGACGCGGGCGTTTGCCACTCAGAACCCGCAACAATTCCTCATCCTTGGTCCCAGTGACCTTCAGCTCCGCATACAACTGGTCGGCTTTGGTGTGAAGTGCTACCAAGTGTCCTGCCACATGAACCGTGCGGCCGTAGTACACGGCCTCTTGCATGCACACTGGCCCCAGTTTCAAAAGTTCCTGTGGCTTGACTTCCGAGAACCTTCTTTCAGCCTTGATGGCTGGCTCCTCTTCCTTTTCTTCTTTTTCTTCACCAGCAGGGCGCCGCCTGACAGGGCCTCTAGATGCTGGTCTCCTCATGGGAGGGGCTTTGGCCTTGGGGCTCATCCTCACCGCCTCCCTTGATATCTTCTGTTGTATAATTCTTGTTTGGCTCGTTTGGTCAGGCCTTTATTCTGGCCTTCTGTCCACCTTGGATGCGAGGAGGCCGGGATGGGCCCCCGCCACCCGGACCCCTGTGGCCGGTGTTGGGGGTAGGACGGTTCAGAAGTCCACCAGGTCCTATCTCCTCGGTAACCTCTGGGCGGAACTTGAGGTTCTGGGGGGCGCTCGTGACGGCGCTTCTTCTCTTTTCCTCTCTTTGAGTTAGGGCTTACTCTGGGAGAGCGGCTCTCCCTTCTACGGTCTGGGCTCCTCCTTTTCCGATCCCTTTTCCGACTCCGGCTGGATCGGGACTTGGCGGATCGGGCTCTCTTCTCTGAGCGGTCCTTGTTTGGCGGCTTCCACTTGCTTTGGCGCTCGTCTCCTCTTTCTTTTGGGAAGGGCTTTTAGCTACACTCACCACGCCTGGGGCTGTGGGGGCGGTCTTCTCTTCGGGCTGTTCTTGTTTCACAGGCCCCTGAGGCGGAAGAGCACCAGGTGGAGCTATATGATGAGGCGGAGGCAAAGGAGGAGCTTTGTGGGTTAAGCCTCCAGGGCAGGCAACTTCGGGAGGCGCAGGGCTTGCTGCTTGGGAGACAGGAGGCGAGGTCTCCCCTACAGTTTTATCGGCCCCACCCACTGGGCCTGGAGGCTCTGGGGCCCCTGGAGCACCCGCTTGGGAGACCTGAGGCGGGGTCTCCCTTAGTGGCACTTGTCGCAGGAGTCTAGTGAGCTCGTCGCGGAGGTCGGCCTCCACTGTGCGCAAGCGAAACCCTGCGCTCCCAACAAACCCTGGCACAGGGCTCCCCTCTCGGATCAGCTGGAATACCCGAGGGAGACAAAAACACAAGGAGCACCCACACGTGGTGGCGTGCCCCCACATCTAAACTAAAGCCAGAGCTGCATTACGTGAATCCGACTGACCTCATGTTTATCATCGTGAGCGAAAGGACATATATATATATATAACATGCATGCACAATATTATAGATAGGATTCACACATATATATATATACACACATCATACATTGAATTGTACATTACATTATGTATACGCAATATTAGATAACATAGAACCATACGTTTTTTTTCATGGCGTCTGGCAGGTGTTGCCCGCTGCGCGACCATGGCCCAGGACCGTAAGGTGCTGGGGCACATGTTTTGACCAACAACAACTTGAAATTTAAGCATATTTAACCCACAACAATATGGAGGTGTCCCAAAAAATGGAGGTACCCCCCCAAATGGATGGTGTATTTCATGGAAAATCCTATTGAAAATGGATGATGTAATATCAAAAACATCGATATAATCATATTTAAGCCACAAAATGGGGTTTTACAAAAAAAAAGGGGAGGAAGAGGTGATTTTGCAAACAAAATATGGAGATATATCTCGTTGAACCATAACGCGCTGACTCGCCCACGGCTCTGTGGATGATGGCGACTGTAAGGGGATCACTGCAAAATCACAGAATATTTCAGGTTTGTATATCATCAATGGCGGTTATATGTCATATAACCCCATATTAACCAATAATGGGCTTATCTTAACCACCTATTTGTGGTGAAAATGAGCAGACAGATATTTTCAGACAGGTTCTATGACCCATTTAGTTCCATGACTTACCGTTCTGATAAACATGGTGATTGTTCATAGCTATGTTACTCTTTTTCTGGAGTGTATGTATCTCAGGTCTGAAGTCATTCCTGTACATTTGGATTCGACATGTTTAGTATCTAAGTATTCAATGCATGGATGATTATAGAATTTTAATGAATTTTAAGTTGAGAGATTTTCCAAGTTTGCGAAAGACACATTCAACCTCACCTCATGTGCTTTAAACGTTGAGATATTAACAGTGTTCAGGCTCCAATCGAGCAAATCCATGAACCATGTAAGGAAGTTCTCTTCAGGGTCGAGGTCCAGTGATGCAGTGTGGATACGGTGGATGAAAGAAATCCTGCATGAGTTGGTAGATGGAACGCATCCAATTATAATCCATGATTTACAGTTTTTCATAGTTATTATATATAATAGTTACCAACTGCAGGATTTAACTTCCATTCACAGTATATCCTCCAGAAAGCCTGTTTTCATGTTAGTAAAGCAATGTCATGTTAACCACCCACACTGTGATGGTAAACGTACCACCCATCAAAATGGTGTTGGGGATGCTGGATCCTCTTTACTACCTCAACTCCGCAGGTGTTCGTGGGTGGCGTGCCTCAAGATCTTAACCAAGACGACTTGTACGTTTCTTGGCGTTGGAGACCGTGGAGACCCCCAAGGTGTGGGGGGATTTAACCATTGAAATTGCTGATTCTGTATATTTTTTACTATATGGGTATGGGTCAGTCAATGGTTTCGACCTTTTGGACCACAGGAATTGAACTATCTTTTTATTTTTAGTATTGACATGTATTCACCATCCAATTATCCAATTTGGATGGGTCACCCAATGACTTGACCCATACCCATATAACATCATACAACATCATATACCCTTTGGTAAACATACAAAAAGCTATTGAAAATGGCCCAGTCGAAATAGTGGATTTACCCATAAGAATAGCATAGTGATGATTTTCCCATCAGTTTTTTGTTAACGTTTACCAGGCCGGGTAATCGATAGAAGCTGGCCTGGGATCAAGTCAATGGAGACCGTCCAACCGTTTGGGCTATGGCTATGACCGGTCCATATATCCGCTCTAAATATATGTTGAGCCGCATCATGTCGGGGGATCATGTTCTCAAAAATGAATCCATATGCATATATATATATACATGTGTACTTATTTTATTTATTTATTCTAATTATTTTATTCTATTTGTTTATATAATTGTCTATTTATGTATCCGTACATATGCAATGGGTGGTTTCACTTATCCCCCTTATCATCACATCCCACATCTCCGTCCTGCCAGTTCTCGGATGAATCTGCTAAGGCCATCTTCAGTGAACACGCCGGAGTCAAGAAAGCATGGCTTCAGAAGCCACGAGCCCAGGCTACATCTGGAATGCGGCTAGTACAGGTGGACGTTGAAGGCAGGACCGATGGTGCTAGAATATGTGTTCCTGCATGGAACGCCGTGGTCACAGCTAAGTCATATGTATGTGGTGCTGATGAAGGAAGCGTCTGACATTTTGGGGGAAAAACTTAAAACCAAATGGGGTTTCTCAAGTCATGGTCGATCCGCAAGTCATGGGTTTTAAGATGTTTTAATGGTCGATGTTTTGATGATTTGGGGTACCCGCTGGTAAACGTTTACATAGCTATGGAAAATCACCATGTTCAATGGGAAAATCCACTATTTCGACTGGGCCATTTTCAATAGTTTTTTTTTTGTTTACCGGAGGGTAGATGAAGATCATTACAAGGCATCCCTCCAAAAAATTCAGTCTCTACTATCCTGAGGGTACCCCCATGACTGTTAGTTTACGGGAGGGTACCCCCATGACTTCGGAAACCTCCAAATGTTGATGTCTTCGAGCCTCCGAGACCGAGGGTTGTGGCCCTCTGAGGTGTCGCACCACAGATGAGAGCGGCGGCAACGTCGGGGGCCTCCGGACGTGCTACCCTCCGGTAAACTAACAGTTTGCTATTGAAAATGGCCATTTAGAGTTGATTTTCCCATATTTTCCCATTGAAAATGGTGATTTTCTATAGCTATGTAAACGTTTACCAGAGGGTATACCTAGGGTGCCGAAATTCGTTTGAGTCGGAATTTTTCAGCCACACTGCTGGGTGATCCAAAGGGGATGTTTTTGACTGTTGCCATGCTACATCCCAGTTGCGTGGCCACAATTCAATCCCGTTTGAAACAAGAGAGATTGATGATTATCGTGAAAAGATGACACAACCTTCCAAACTTGAGGCCAAACTTGTGTAGACATCTTGTCTTTTCGTCTTTTCCTTTTTGTGCGATTCGTTCTAGATGTCTCAGAATTGGGAGGGAACATCTATAGGAAACCCCCTTATCTGGTGGGTGAAAACCATCGTTTCCTGTATATGATCCGTTAAATCCACTTAGAACCTAGTTTTACATATATACATTTGTGTATACATAATTCAATATGATGTATCTGTATACTATATACTGTATATATATATATTCTATAATATTACATTGTTTAATCGCCGTATGTGGGTATATTCCCCATTATGTGAAGAAAAACCCAACCATGATATTGTCGCTTGTATATCCACCTTATTCCTTTCAGTATATTTCTAGTATATATTGTACCAGTATTACCAATATATCTCCATAGTATAACCCCATGATATTCTCACTATATCTCTATCATGCTTGGTTCTATACCATCATTTCTGGACAAACCATAATTCCACCTTTCACCCTGACTTATGGGGTTGTCTGAGAACAGGGGACCCCAAGTTGTGGCCATTCAACGGGAAAATTATGGAAAATGATCATCAACCAATGGAGTTGGGGTATACCCTTTGATCAAACATTTTTCAAGGGAACAGTTGGGGAACATCCACCATGAACCACCATGATTTCTCGTTTTCCCAGACCTCTCCGGTTGAGGGATTTTCCAGCCACGTTTCACTGGAGGGTTTGCCGCTTAAAAAAGGCAGCACAGCAGAATCATCGTGGCTTTGGATTCGCACCTTGGCGCAGCATGGGTCGGTGGGTGGTCAATGGGTGGTTATGAAATACTATGTTTCATACTATGAATGGTGAAATCCCACAAGCCTAAAGTGAAGATATCCAAGGATTTGGTATTATGGCTGAGGGTTTTTACTAATCGGCTGAACATTTTTAGGTGAAGATTTCTGAAACGACCCGGGATCCAGGGCCATTTTGGCTTTTCTTCGAGCCATTTTTCTCGTTGAAATCTCCATATCATCCTATGGCGCGCTGACATTTTTGAGTGTATCAACGGTTTATCGTCCCGCTTGTTGGTAGATGTTGGTAGTTACCTATGATTGTTTTGCAGAATCTGTGAATCAAAAGATCCTCCAGGTTGGAGTTAGAGGTTTCCATGTTGGTTTCACCTCCAGCTGCTTCAGAAATAGGTGATTTTTCATGATGCGCTGGCCATCGACGAGTTGCTTGGGTGCCTTCCTTAGTGTGAAGCTCTGGGATTGTGACTGATCTGATGAGAAGAAATGCGGTTTGTCTGGAGTCTTAGGAAAAGCTAGAAACATCTAAAAACATCGTTGGCTGACCATGATTTTCCCAAGTAAACTTGTCAGTTTAGTATATTAAATCAATATATATATATAATATAATATATAATAAACATATATATATATATATATATTATATGACATCTTTAACCGAACCCAAATCGAGATAGGTCAATACCTATATAACCATCCATCTTTTTGTGTTTGGATGTTCAGAGGCCCTGAGTAGATTAGCGATGGGCCCCCCAAAGGTTATACCAATTTCAATTTCTATAATTGTACATTATGCCATAATGTCAACATCCGAAGCTGATTTTCACAAAATTGCGTACATGAAAGAGGTGAATGAGCGATACCCCTAGCGATATCCATTTGTTCAAAAACTAGCAAGAACTAGCCCCAGACCACAGATAGATCCTTTTTTTTCCTCCCTTTCTCTTCCGGAATAAGAGGCGCTGCTTCCTCTTCTCTTTCTTTTCTCTTTCTTTTCTCTTTCTTTTCTCTTTGTTTCCTCTTTCTTTCCGCTTTGGCTCAGTTTTCTTTCCTCTTCCTCTTTTACCCCAATATTCTAATATTACCTATATATATATATACATATACACACACATTTAATCGCTATATATGTATATATATATATATGTATATGTATATGTATATGTATATGTATATGTATATGTATATTAATATATATATATATACATAGCACCCCCCGAAAGATAGAAGCAAACATCACTATATCAGAAAGATTTCACTCTTCTATCTTTCTGGGGATTACCTGCAGCTTTAAGGAGCGCGCCATCGCGATTCATCGTCTTGTGCAATGGCACCAAGCTCGAAGTATCTGGGCGTTCACGTCTGCCCCCGGGAGAAGCTAAAAAGGGGGATGTTAACCAGAGAAAACACGGTCTTAGCTATCAAAAATGGGATTTAATTGTCACAAACATGGATTATGCCTTTACGCAATTGGGTTTTAACAATCATAAGGGTATAAATCCACAAATCTTAGGAAAGAAAAAAAAAGTTATTGTCCAACAAACATGAGAATACATTATAGAGGGGCTTCTCCCAATTTTCTGGATGTTGAGAGTTATTTTGTCCCAAAATATGGGATTTGAGCCTGCAACCTGAAGTTGAGTCAATTTGGATGTTGGGGATATAATCGAATGTGTGGGAAGAAATCGGATGTAGTCGGAAGAAATGAGACGAAATGGGATGTATTTGGATGTAGTCGGATGAAAGCGAAGAAGGTTGTTTAGCCTTTTAACCTGTCAAGAATTGTGTTTCAAGCATCAAACACAGGGGTATACACCATAATTGTAGTTTACGGAAAAGGTGGTAAAACCATAGTCGGGATACTGTGCATGGATCAGTATGATTATTATATCTATATAATGTTCATGATCTTCCATTGATAGAAAATGGTATTTTTCATGATGATAAAAATGGATTTCAAAATACATCTTCTATTATCATCATGGCATATTATATTATATCTATATTATGATAATATCATATATGGTATTTATTTTATTATACCATCATCATACATTATATCATATTATGATACACCATTCATCATATCATATTATATTTATGGTATCTTATGGTGTATTATGATGATAATACCATGCTTAAATTAATCGATTCTGAAGCGTTTTCCCATACGCTGAGGTCAAGCGGGCCCTCAGCAGCAACAAGATGAGCTCGCCGCAGGCCACGGATGTTTTCCAGCTGGCTTCACGCCATGGATGTCATGGGAGGTCCCCTTTTTCGCTGGTTTACCCGGCCTGGTAACACATAGAAAAAGCCACATTGAAAGTGGCCATTGATAGTAATAGTTGATTTACCCATAAAAATAGCATGGTGAGTTTCCATAGTTATGGGACAGCTTACCAGAGGGTATCACGGAAAATCCTATGAAAATCCTATGAAAATGGACTGGGGGTAGCTCCAAGGATTGGAGACCTCTGGAGAATCCACCAAGTCTTGGATGCGTCACTTTCGTCATGGGAAAAAAAACCCAGTGGTCACTATGGTTGTTTCATTACTCAGTCATGGTCATCCATGACGACTGGATGATGACTGGGGTAAACCCTATCTTAAGATGTGGATTGCCCAGATCGATGTGAAAATACTAGGCCCGGCTTACATCCCTAGACCATCAACCTCAACTTTTGACGGTTCATAATGAAAAAAAAACACGTGTGTTTTAATTGATTTGGGTATGGTCCACTGGGGTTGTTACACCAACCCAAATGGCCGAGGGTGTCCCAGGATTTTCGTCAACTGTGGCATGGATTTGGGATCCCTTGGGATTTGGGATTGCTACGAATGATCACAAGAGCATACAATCCCATCCCTATATGGGAGTCGATCTAGAGGTCCATATGTAATGAGTTTTAATTGCCATGGCCGCGATGTTACAACATGACAATATGTTTTTAATTATATTAGACATATTAGATACCCCAAATAAAAAGGTCCAGGACTAAACCAGGTTTCCAGAGGCTGGTTGAATGTCGGGAAGTGATAATAACATATAATAACAATGGTAAGGAATTTTCACCAAAACAGAAGGACAGAACTGTATGTATTCCATGACACGACTACATGAATAATGGACCATGCAGCCAGGTACTTTGGTGGGGGTATGGAAGATCAACAGATCAACCAAGGAAATCATGCTGCAAAAACCCATGACTTTCCAAGAATAGGAACATACTAGGATATCATGGGGATATTTCATGGTATATATATATATTATATATATATGTATATATATATGTATATATTATATATCACCAACTTGATATGGTATGAATGTCTCTGAAAATGGGGGATTGACCAACTTGGGGGGCACCATGTTTCCAGATAAAACCAAAATCAGCTGAAGCTCATGGCGGCAGCATGCGGCAGCAGTCAATTCAGATGGTCGACCATTCATTCTGCTACCAACTGTTTCGCCTTTTGCTGCTGCCAAAAAGAAACGTGTTGAGCGTCAATCGTTCTGCAGCAAGTACTTTTTTTCTTTTTCCGTATCCTACCTCCTTTACAATGGATATGATCACTGGATCTTCAGTGCTGACAACAGGCTTCTGTCTGAGTAGCTGAAGCAACTGAAGCACTGTTTGCATCAGCAAAGCGTCAGGTTGACGGTACAGATCCTGTTTCTTGGCCTCACAGTTTCGCCGGGAGGAGGAAGGTGAGGAAGGTCAACGAAGCCAGAAATTGAGAGAAACAAAAAGGCTACTTAATGCTAATCATATATATATACGTATATATACATATTCAAGAAGATTTAAGATGATCTAACCAATTTCTAACCATATTTCATGATGTTTCAGCGGTTTTTTTTTTGGCATGCTTGAAGCACCAAGCAGACAACGTAACCGATGCCCACAGCTCTTAGGTCAGCCGCACGCGCGCACAACCCCCACTGCACATGTCTGGACCGTGACTCGGCCTGGGCTTAGCTGAGAGATTTCGACTGGGCGCGGCGTGGGGATGTTCAATGGCCATAAATTCTGGGATTTTTTTGGAGAAGCCAGATCAACTAACTTGATATAACTTGATATGATATTTCGGATAGATTTAGGATATTTACCAGCAACATTATGGCAACATAGGTTCTGATTTTCAAGCAAACCCATGTTATGGGTTTGTCTGAAAATATATCACGATGTCAAAAGAGCTTTGGACATGAAGAACAGATAGCATCATTATCATATCATAAAATGATAGACCGATTACATTATTTAATTTGTGGATATCCGTGTTCTGGTTACTCATCATCTCAATTCCTACCCAACTGTAGAATTCAACTAGCAGGCAATGCTTAGGTTTAGGTTTATCTTGTATGTTTACATTCAACGAATTAGTAGAATTGACAATAAGATATAAGGACGTTACAATATAAGAGGATATAGACAATTAGTTCTATTATAAGACAGTTGTTTGTAGAATTCGTTACTGACAACTGCCTTTGACAAAAACCTATTATTTCCAGCATCAGTTTACGGGTTGATGGAATTTAGTAGCAGAAATCTCTTGATCGGGAGGAACATAGGTGAGTACCAGCTATTTTGGCGTTCATAAAGGTACATGTAAACAGGGTCATAAATGTGTACGGGGCAATACAAATGGCTCCGAACTCCAAAATATCCCATGTTCTGCAGTTGTTATTCACATCCTCGGGTAAAGATTATATGATGATGTTGTTTCAATGTTCACCTCAAGCCTCTGGGTTTTTGACCAAGAAAATCATTGGTGATCCTTCTGTGTTTGCCAACTTGCTAGAATTCCAGATGTTTTGTAGGCATGGAAAGGGCCCCCCTTGGGTAAAATTGCAATCTCATGGGATAGTTTGAGCAATCGTTGGGGGTGGGTCCCAAGGCGATAAACATAAATTGAACTTATGACTTGTGCAATCCTATATGCATAGCAGAATGGCATTTCCCAGTGTGTTGGATAAGTCCCAACTTAATGTCGCCTCTATCTTCACCTATGCTGATTACATCGCTATTTGGTATGAAGGTGATTTTATAAATCCCCTCAATCACCCTTGCAACTGGTTGTGCATACTAAACTGGGATGAGTTTAATCTCCACATTTCAATCCATATGGGTAGCCATATGTGTCTACATATGGTTATATATATTTTTATATTTATATTTTTACACAGCATTTTTATATTTATATATAGATTCGATAGAGAAAGAGAGAGATAGAAACCTGCCCGATTTTCTCAGGCCCCGAGCGTTACCGCCTGGTGGGTTTAGGGTGACGTCCGGTGGACGTCCGGGTGTGCAGGCGGGCGGGTACCGTGGTGTCGTGGTACCGGGGGGTGTTACGAAGAAATGGATTTTCATGGATTACCCTCTGGTAAACTAACATAACTATGGAAAATCACCATTTTTAATGGGAAAATCCACTATATATAACTGGCCATTTTCAATAGCTATGTTAAATTACCAGACGGTAATACGGTTAACATCTTTTTTCGTGGTATTTTGAAGATTTTGTTAGATGAATAGCTAACATTTTAAGATGGTTCCCAATTTTTAATGAAATGCCCCTTGTATTTGATTACTTGGTTTATGCCCTTGAGAAAGTCTACCACATTTGCCGTGGAGTACTCCCTGCTAAATGGCACAGTTTGAAGCTGTTTCTCTAGCGTTGTATTTTTCCGCAACGTTTATGCATATCAATATCATCTGTATATGTAATCGGATGTGTGTATATCTCTATGTATATATCTCTATGTATATATATATGTATATATATATATATTACGTATATATATATACATTATACATATATTATATACAGTATGTGTATAATTGTGTATACAATTGTATATACACATCAATGTGTGTTTTTTAACTTCAGATACTCAACAAAAAAAAAACGGTGCACCTAGCGGCTACGTGGTCTACTCGACCCTTGGATCCCATGGTTCATCATAGGTTTCCCATCGGACAACTGTCATGGGACTGGGGGTATCTCCAGCTTGCGATATCTGGATGGACCCAAAGATATCATATCGAAATATATCGAATATGAAGTTGGTCTAAAAAGTCCCACATCCTCAAATGTTGTTTTTTGTTGTTTTTTGTATACCCCCCCTGTTCTATGGTCAAACGGGCCTTTGTGGCACGAATCTTCGATTTGTGGAGTTGGTTGACTGAGGCAGATTGGGCGGCCAGTCGATTCGCTCAAGGGGACTTGCTGAGGTCCCTGCGGCGAACGTTCGTAACGGGGGGACCGTTTGTTCATAGGTAAATCATCATCTTTATCATCTATTAATGGGCCATTTTCCATAGCTATGTTAAATAACCGGGTATATGATATTACATGTCATTGAGCTGAATATGCATGTTACTATTATATAATAACATATATTATATGATGTCATTATGTATGATATTATTTTTGGGTTTGTCTAGCATACTGAAATATCAGATGCATTCAGTTTTTTAAATCATGATTTCTCCTGCAGCCAATTGCTTTTTTGGGGTAACCAAATTTTCTGACAAGCCTGTAGGTAGGATTATGGTTTGTCCAAAGATGGAGGATACCCCACAATGGATTTTGTGAAAGTGCAATGATGACAAGCCATTGAGGAGTACCCTATTTTCGGATCATATCCCATATACAACATGAGACATACACAGACTAAATTTAATTTGTGGGATGATATATTATGACTTGTGGAGGTTTACAACAAGGCATAGGGGGACCCTCAATTAGCATTCAGAGTATATATTGATATATATTGATATAATATTATGTGATTATTTGTGTATATATATATGGTTATATGTCATTTTTGATCAGTGGAACCAATGGTGATAAGGGGTGCCCCTATTGCAGCTCCCTATATTTGTTTATATATATATATATCTTTATCACCATTTTAAGCGGGAAAAGATAGGCAAGGCATCGAAATGAAAAGACATACTTCAGCAATATGCCCTGGTTTTCACACCAAGATAGCTGGTGTATGGTGCTAGGCGTTTCTCCCTGCATTCTGATGGTTTCAAGGGTATTGAGCTATCCCAATATTCCATGAGAGCTAACATAAACTCCAAAAATGGGTTCAGGAGTTCAGCAGATCAAAATTAGTATTGGTCTTTGCCCAGTTGAATCAACAATTACCGTAAGAGGTTGTATCCGTTGGTGAGATTTAAAAAGGAATAAGTGAGGATTTTTCATATGATTTCAAGAATCAGAGACACGAGCAGACATGATGGTTCTTTTATTGGCAGTTGTACATTGCACCCCGTTCTGGATTTATCATTCTCACATGTCAGCTGCTCAAGGCCCTATCTGTGCAAGTCATTTGAGGTAACTCATTTGCGGAAACCAATTTCAAACGGCAGTTGAAGCATGTTCAAGAGACATTATCTGGCTGACACATGCTGACACAAAAAAGATTCCACCCTGGTGCAGCTGTCCTCATTTGAGTCGTTGCCAAAAGACACATTGCTCGGTCATGAAAGGCAATGGTCATCCCCCCAGGTTCCGGAGTTGATATACCATGATATGGTCATCCCCCCATGATATCCATGATTTTTGGAATCCCGTTAGACTTCCTGATAGGATGACCAGGGACCGTATAAATCCCGTGTACTACATGTACCTCGACCGTGGCAAATATTACGGCAAGACCCTGAGGTTTGCCCGGACTCGCAACGAGTGTCCGGGCAAGCCAAAATGACGATGATGATGATGATGATTATTATTATTATGATGATGAATTTGATTATGATGATGATTTTGATATCGTTTTGAAACCCTATAAGAAACCCTAATGACTGTATGGTTAATTGTTTCATGGGGCCGGGGGATTTTGATATCTTTTTTTACACCCTATAAGAAACCTTAGCGACTGTATGGTTAATTCTATATGATTTGTAGACGCGACATGTTCTGGTTATATGATATGTAGAATCAACATGTTCTGGTAAACACCCCAGCAACATAATTGAACATAAAATCCTTCCCGTTGTTTGACGTCGTACAGAATTCCCTGGTATTTAGGCTATTTTGGTTTTGGGGAAACCTTGGGGTCTGTGTGTAATATTATTCTGGTTGGTGGTTTGGAACATGGCTTTTATTTTTCCATATATTGGAAATTTCATCATCCCAACAACTGACGAACTCCATCATTTTTCAGAGGGGTTGGTATACCACCAACCAGCCATAATTAACCAATGATTAACCATCATTAACCACTATTAACCACTATGAACCATTATTAACCATTATTAACCACCAACCACCAACCAGTATTTAATATTTGTCCCATTGCATCCCCAGGATTCTCCCCCAAATATCTCGACGATGGCCTCAGGCAATTGTCTTTGATGGGCAATGGCTATTTGCCTCAGGTCGGGAAGATGTAGGAGATGCCACAGGGCAGGGGACAGGAGCCAAGCTATTTCCGAAGATCGGTGGATAGCAGGGCAGGTGTCGTCGTGGATGGCTTTTTTTTCTTGGGGAATCGGGTCGGAAAATTCCGCAAGGCTTGCAAGGTATCCAGTCTCAGAAGTAAGATTAGCCATGTTTCTGGATGTTTCTTTAGCGAAAGCCCAACGTGACTGCACCTAAGGGTGGCAACAAAGAAACCGTTTCCTCCAAAACCGGCGAAGTTCAACCGCTTTGGATTGAGAAATCATTGCACTGTGGATTAGGCCAACCTCGCAATGAATATCTGGTTGGTGGTTTGGAACACGGCTTTTATTTTTCCATATATTGGAATTTCATCATCCCAACTGGCTAATATTTTTCAGAGGGGTAGGTCAACCACCAACCAGATATTAATGACCTGCAATACAATTTTCACAACAGATGTCTCACACTGTGGATACCATGCCAACAATATGACCATGCTGACAGAGGCGTTTCGGTTCCATCTTTTTTGTACAGCCCAAAAAGACAGACATGTCATGAACTGTAGAATTCTGCATGATCCTAGGACAATAGTGTCAATTACATGTTTTTTTCTACCTTGGTGGCAAGTATATTCCGGAAAGAGATTGGCTCGGGTCAGTCGCACAGCAGTGACCAGTCTGCTGCATGACTGGGGATCAACACCCCATCACCCTGCAGTTTTGATGCAGAACCAGTGGCTATAAAATCGGGATATATCAGCTGCTGTGAGAATAAGATATATGTAATTATATATATATGATATAGATATGATCCCAATTGTATAATATTGTATATATATAATATGTACATATTGTTTGAATGATATAACATAAGATACAGATATGTATATGACTAGTCATATACACATTTGAAAGGTGTAGATTAATTTTTCTCGGCTGTTCCAGGCTGCCAGCGCTCCGGGCCTTGCACCTCCCTTGCCGCCATATGCCGTCGGGATGCCGTGTAAAACAAAGAGTGGAATGGCATGGGAATATCTATAGGGATTTAAACAATGGGATAGAATCTGGGTAAATTATAACGACCTCACTGCGACCTCACTGGAATCATGGTTAGTAGGGGGAATCATCCCCAAATGGCCTTATTTCAGGTTAGTGAATTATTGTAATTTGCCCAGATAGAATGGGAATAGACCCTTTGGGAATGAAACATGGCCATGGACAATTCCTATAAGTGATATTGTAGATGATTTTCCCAGCTATAAACCTCCACTTAGTTCGTTTTTTTTTCCAGCCAGCCATGTTTGATTACCGTCGGGTACGAAAAACATGCGTCAAATAATTTGTCTATATTTGTTTGGGTGTTATATACTAAATACATACTATATACTAGGGATTCCACTAGGGATATAATTACTTTCAAAAGTGGGGATGCCTTCAATCATTAGATGGGAATTATCAATAATGGATATATTCAATGAGTACAGTGGCTATACTCAATCTATAATTAGGGATATGACCCAATAAGTTGGGTCATGTCCATATTTATCCCATCAAATCACTGTTGAAACATGGATTCAGCTCTGGCTAGTATGGTTTGGGTTAGTGTTCCAGCTCCTCTAGAATGGATCGGATAGTTGGCCACCGATCCTGTTCGACAATTTTCCTGCGGTAGATGCATTCAGATATGGATGTGGATATATTTATACACACGTATTTTATGTATTATATATATAATTATATAATACATATATACACAGTGTTCGAATTTCTACACACCTTCCATAACCATCTATAACCATAGTATTACATATTACTATTACGTTAATTATGTTGTTATAACTTATGTACTGTAACCATCTATAACCCATTATTGTTTATATTTACATATTACATCACTGTAATACACGGTCGTTGCTGAACATCTACCGTGTCTGAGGCGGCCGTTGCGCCGCCCATGTTGCTTGGCGCCATTGGCAGGTGAAACCTTGGGGGAGAATTGTTTACCATAGGAAAATGGTGGTAAACCGTAGGAAAACCAAGGGAAAATGATGATTTAACCACTATAAATGGGGATTTAATGGTGATTTTTAAATGGTTTAACACTGGGTTAACAATGGCGAATAATGGGATGATAATGGGATATACCCTTTGGTAAACATACAAAAAGCTATTGAACATGGCACAATTATATTTGATTTACCCATTGATAGCATGGTGGATCTTTCCATAGTTATGTTAGTTTACCAGAGGGTACCATTTGGTAATCTTAGATGTGGAAAAGCCAGATAGATCCTGTTCCCAACACAAAAGCATGGACTTTCCACATCGATTTGAGTTTACCCCAGGATCATATGTTTGGTTTTTCTATTACATGGGAACATAGTATCTATGTTCCCAACTAATTTTTGGAGGATATCATATATTGGCCATGATTCGTTGAAATCTTGTGATTTTTCCAGATGAACCATAAACATCCATAAACCATGTTGTTTCCTATGTATCATATGTATCATATGGCTGGGACAAACCCATGTATCAGATGTATCCTGAGTTTCCACATGTTTCTTCAACTCCGTCGTGACCTCTGAGGATGCGTGCACCTGGGGCTAGCCCGGGTCCGGCAGCCGCCGGACTGGCGGCGGAGGGGCGAAATGTACCTTTGCGGAATGCCATCATGCAGTGCTGCTGGCATGGTTTACTTATCTAGTAAACTAAGAATTTGCTATTGGAAATGGCAAGTGTTACAGTATCCATTTTGGGTCTGTTGGTTTACCATGGTTTACCTACTAATCAAATTGGTTTAACCATGGTTTACCTATAAAATGGTGATTTGTTCGTTTACCAGAGGGTAGATCCGGATCAGATTTTGAATAGATGCTGATGGAGAAATTCTTGATGTATTTTGCGGCTCGTTTTTTTTTGGGTCAACATTCCAAACATGGTTTGGGATTTGTTGATGTAAATTACCACCTGATGGAACTGTAGGAAATGCATAGGTTGCGCCTTTCCCGTGGTTTACAGTACACACTTGCTCAGACACAAAAAGAGCTTCAGGTGGGCCCGGGCAAAGTTGAGCCGGTCAGTTTTGCTTTCCATGATAAGCCCCATTTTTTGTGTTGCTACTCAATGACTTGGTGTACCTGTTTTTGAATACATCCAGTTGATTGAATTCTATTGGACTACAGTGACTATGTGTTCCTGTTTTTTGTTGGTTAAATGTATATATATAATTTATAATAATATAATATAATATACTATAATATAATATAATATAATATGATATAATATAATATAATATGATATGATATAATATAATATAATATATAATACAATATATAATATAACATTATATATATATCATATCCATATCCCGTATGTTCCCATGAAATGTTGATTCTTTGGGAGGACACTTCTGATCCAAGCGTGGTTTTTTTTTGACGCCAGGTTTTACCATGAGCACCGCCCCGAGAAGCTTACGGAGCGAGACTTCATTGACTTCATTTGCAGTGTCAGTGGGCCCTAGGGGCCTGAACAGGGCCCTAGACGTTGCTGTGGGTCTCGCCCCCATTTTAGATGGTTACCCTCTGGTAATTTAACATAGCTATTGAAAATGGTCATTTATAGTGGATTTTCCCATTAAAAATGGTGGTTTTCCATAGCTATGTTAGTTTACCAGAGGGTAATCTATGTTCAACTCGGTTCCTCATTTTTGATGAATTCATCTCCCAAATGGCCATTTTTGCTAGAGCCCTATGATGTTTTGATGGTCAAATCCAGACTTTTTGATGGTGCGGACCAAAAGCGCTGGGATTTTTGTGTAGGAAAACGATGTAGACATGATGATTTACTAGGGCGAACTATGATTATCTGTAATGTTTAGAGGGGAACATTAGGGAAAATGATGATCAATCATTTCTGGTTGGTGGTTTGGAAAATTTGTTATTTTTCCATATATTGGGAATAGTAACCCCAACTGACTTTCATATTTTTCAGAGGGGTAGGTCAACCACCAACCAGATCAATCATTTGATTGTTTTGGGGTACCACCATTTTCCAACACAGATGGATGATTTACGTGTCACAAGCCTTTTGAGAAATGGTGATAATTGGAATATTCACCAAGAGATGTGGGTACTTGGCTGCTTGTTATTGGACACGGTAATTTCTCCAGCAAGCATGGGTATAGAAGATTATAGAAGTGATAGTTTCATAGCAGTGGGGTTCTACTAAATGGTTTAGTTCAGTATGTATGCTTATAAACCCAGAATTTAGGATCCCTTATCAACCAGGCTTCGTAGAAAGGGATGAAGCATGGTCAAGCACTGCTCAGTCGTGATGGGGTAGCAGGTCCAAGGCAACGAAGCTGGCAGGGAATTGATCCTGATCATCTATGATTGCCCATGTATCCAAACTGTGTGTGTATGGATAATACCAGCATTCCACCAGCATTCCACGTGGGATACAGTCTTGCGAATGATGTTTAAAGGCTCTCTTTTTGAATTTTGGTCAGCCAAGATGTTGCGAAACTACCAAGTTAAACCATACATATATATATATATATACATTTGGGGTTGAAGATGGATTACACTGAATTTCAAGAAACCAAGTGTAATGAAGTTATGGAAGTAATCTCAGCCATATCTATAACCCAACTATATCTGGATTCCACGCAAGCCAAAAAACAGATCGTTATCTCTATCCAGACCTGCCACTGCCACGCCCGGGACCGGCATGCACTTGACAGAAACACATTTTGTAAGATGTTCGGTTATTTTTTGCACAACAAAGCCGTATCTTTTTTGGTCGCTTAGCCTTTAACCAAAAGTTTGCACTCTTGTTATATATACAGTATATATATATATATGTATGCATATATATATATATATAAGTGGAGCTATGAATCATCTGTGCATCTATTAACAGATTCTATATTCCATCTCCATCCATCTCCCAATTTCATGTTGCTTCCCTCCAGCTATAGATCCTGGCGGAAACATACGAGTTTTCCATCCTGTAAGGTCTATGAAGGACGTGAAGCAGAATTGGACGAGGCGGTAGCAAAGCTGGTCGGGGAACTTTCCTACTCGGACCTGGTCCATTTTTGTTATCATCTATAGTAACACCAAAAAAGATAGAAAAGTCAAAGTAGAATCCTACCAAAATAGTTATACGTATTTATAAGTTACTTTTCTTTTTAGGGGCACAAAAATATGGAAGATTGACACTAGCTTTCCTTTCACCCTCAATCAAAAAACATATCTGAATCTGTAATTTTTGTCCGGTAGATTTCGAAAAATCGACGGCGGATTTGGGGCCTGTTTGATCACATTCCTCATTGATATCCAGGGGACCCAGCTTTTGGGATGAATCATTACTAAGACATCGATACCCTCTGGTAAACTAACAGTTTGCTATTGAACATGGCCATTGAAATAGTGGATTTACCCAATAATGGTGATTTTCCATAGCTATGTAAACGTTTACCAGAGGGTATACGTAAAGATGTCCATAGATATTGTTGGTAGACTGTTTTCTGGATTCGCAGACAGCCAAGAGATTAATCGTGAGGTGTTGCAACAGCATACGGCCTGTGGGCATATCCCAACCATGCACTTGATTGACCACGATCACGTTTCACAGCATTTCCTATCGTTCGGCGGAGTTTCACATGTTTCACGTTCATCAGATACTTCCCATCCCAACATCCCCAAATTTATGCCGCAACGGCTGCCCGGCAGCGCCTAACGGCAGCGCCTTACCACCAGGCCTTGCGCAACAAATATGGAACCGGCCTGCAACTGCCGAGCTCGTTGGGTTCCGAGAATCCATAGGAAAACCGTAGGAAAACCATATGTCAATGGATTGATGTAAGGGAAAATGTTTAACCGGAAAGCCCCCGATTTAATGGGAATATCTATGGTTTCCGGTTTCGATTTTCCCAACAAAACCAATCCATTGATGATGATGTTTACTATGATCATGATATAGAAATACCATCTGGTTATTTAACATAGCCATGGAAAATCATCATTTTTAAGAGGTAAACCATCTATAATTGGGCCATTTTCCATGGCTATGTTAAATAACCAGAGGGTATATAAAAATATGTTTGTGGAGTGGGGCAAACCCAACAATGGATTCCCGAGATGTTTTAGATCATGGATGAGTTCCGAGATGTTCCGAGGCGTTTCCAATTCATTGGTTTTTTGGGCCATAGAATTGGAGCTTTCGAGCCCGATCATGGTGGTCTATTGGACATCATTGGACTATGTACTCAAGATGTACGGCATGGGCATCGCTTCGGGATACGTCGAGTGCATCGCTTCGGGATACCTCAACATCATCGTCGTCATCATCATCATCATCATCACCAGCATCATCATCATCGTCGTCGTCGTCATCATCATCATCATCGTCGACACCGTCATCTCCGTCAGCTACCCGTCATCATCAGCACTACCGACAGACCCTGGACGCCTTTTCTGAGTATACCTCGCTGTGCCAGCGCGAAGCACTGCAAACTGTATTATAGAGTTTCTGACAAGACACCAGATACGTCCATAGGTGTGATAAAAAGACCTGTATATATATATTTACACATATATACCTATGCGCACACATTTATATATATATATAGGACGTCGCAGTAAAGACGCGGGTTACGAAATACGCGGGTTTGAGAATGACCCCTCCCTCCCCAAGCAAACCCTAAATGGCTGAGTCAAGTAGTGATGTAAGTAGAATGATCCCTCCCCCCCAACCAAACCCTAAATGGCTGAATCAAGTCATGATCTAAGTAGAATGACCCCTCCCCCCCAAGCAAAGCCTAAATGGCTGAGTCAAGTAATGATCTAAGTAGAATGATCCCTCCCCACCCCCTCAACCAAACCCTAAATGGCTGAATCAAGTAATGATGTAAGTAGAATGACCCCTCCCCCCAAGCAAACCCTAAATGGCTGAGTCAAGTAATGATGTAAGACGAATGACCCCTCCCCCAACAAACCGAAGTGGCTGATCAAGTAGTAGGTAATATAATGATCCCACCCCCCCACCAACCCTAAATGCTGAGTCAAGTAATGATCTAAGTAATGAGCCCTCCCCCCCCAACAACCCCATGGCTGAGTCCAAGTAAGATGTAAGTAGAATGACCCCTCCCCCCAAGCAAACCCTAAATGGCTGAGTCAAGTAAATCTAAGATGTATGTAGAAGAATGACCCCTCCCCCCAACCAAACCCTAAGTGGCTGAGTCAAGTAGTGATGTAAGTAGAATGATCCCACCCCCCCAACCAAACCCTAAATGGCTGAGTCAAGTAATGATCTAAGTAGAATGATCCCTCCCCCCCCAACCAAACCCTAAATGGCTGAGCCAAGTAATGATGTAAGTAGAATGATTCCTCCCCCCCAAGCAAACCCTAAATGGCTGAGTCAAGTAATGATCTAAGTAGAATGATCCCTCCTCCACCCCCCCAAGCAAACCCTAAATGGCTGAGTCAAGTAATGATGTAAGAAGAATGACCCCCCCCCCAACCAAACCCTAAATGGCTGAGTCGAGTAATGATGATAAGAACGATGTTTTCCGTGTTGCCCAAAGTGATGAAATCCGTGTTGCCCAAAGTGAGCGTCCAAAGTGTGAGGAGTGTGTGATTTCTGGATGTTGCCTGAAGTGATGCGTTTGGTGTTGCCCTAAGTGATGCTGGTGCCAGATGTACCCTCTGGTAAACATACAAAAAGCTATTGAAAATGGCCATAGACATAGTGGATTTTCCCGTTGAAAATGGTGATTTTCCATTGCTATGTTAGTTCACCAGAGGGTACTCAAGATGTAGTCCTGAAAGTCAATTGGCTGATTCTACCTTCTACCTTCAGTAGTAGCGAGGGTCCACAATGCTAGATGGTAGACTCAGTCTCATAGAATTTCAGCCTATGTGAACAATCCAGTGGCAACATCCGAAAACAATTTGATGTACTGGGGACAACAAGCTACAGATATGGGAAATACCATGGACATATTATGTACAATATGTATATATATATACACAGTGTAAATATACATATATATATATAAATATATTATAGCCATTTAGGGATATCAGTCCAAGACTTGCATGAGGCTAATCTGCTATCTCAGCCTCTATCTTAGAAAGTGATAAAACCATTTCATTGTTTGAATCTCTACCCTCAGTAAACAAACATCGTTGCCTGCAAAATCCCCCAAAAGACCTAATCCATGCAAATGGATGAAACCTCAGGTTTTGACATGTTTTGACTAGGTCAATAATGCGCTCAAATGGATTCGTTTGAAACTCGGGTACCCCAAACAACCATGGTCTACCATGGTCTACCATGGTCTACCATCGTTTTCTTGATGTTTTGCCGCCACCAAAGGGTGAAGCAATCGTAGGATCTGCCCGAACCGGTGGCGCTCAGGATGACTTCCGTGCCTCAATCGACCACTTCCGACCTGGGACTCAATCCAGGCTCAGGGAAATACCTATGGGATATCTATGGGATATCTATGGATATGAGAAGTGAGGGATTCTATGGACATGAATTTTATGTGTGCCGTGGTCAATTTGGTCAAAACTTGGGCAACTTGCCAACCTTGGGGGATGGTCTTTAACCCACTAGGGATTGAAAAATTTTGGGGTCCCCAAAAAGACAGAACCGTATTTCCAGGATGGTATCGATGACGTTTTTTCATCATTTTAACCATCGTTTTCCCTATCATCGGTTGCCATGTTTTCGGGGTTGCGAGGGGCACCTCCAGGATTCCCCTTAGATGACGTTCCCCCGTAAACCCAGAAAGCCCTGGTTTGGTGTACTGGAACTCTTCATCAGGGGAAAACACCTATTTTTTTTCGGGCTTGCTGTGTAGTAATGGCTGGTTGGTGGTTTGGAACATGGCTTTTAATTATTTTTCCCATCATATTGGGAATGTCATCATCTCAACTGACGAAGTGCATCATTTTTCAGAGGGGTTAGCAGCACCAACCAGCCATAATTAACCAATGATTAACCACTATTAAACCAATATCAACCACCAACCAGATGGGATCAGTGAAGCCAGTCTGACCAGTGGTCGAATCATAGAGGTGGTTTTTCAAAATCTCGTGAAGAATCCCTACGGCAAAAAACTGCGTATATTTGGTGATGCTTACCCTCTGGTAATTTGTTACATAGCTATTGAACATGACCATAGAAATAGTGGATTTACCCATTGAAAATGGTGATTTTCCATAATTATGTAAACGTTTACCAGAGGGTACGTTTCAATCTTGTTGATGGTTAAATTAATTGATGTTACATCCACAATTTTGCTGATTTCTAACTTGTTGATTGTTTACGTAAGTTTACAAAACGGAACTCGTAATTTTTGAGAAACCGCCAGCAGCTGACTAATGGTGATGCTATCGCGGGATCAGATTTGGTGTGTTGGCGGGGTTCATGGCACGGATTATATGGATTGACTTTCGAGTTTGAAGATCTTTGAATTCACAGAATTGAATGACAGGACAATTTACAGGAACCCCCTTTTTTTTTGATGGTAAGCAACCATAGGCTAATTATAGTTTCCTGTAGATTTCCCATCAAACCAATCCTTTGATGAATATGTTTGAGTAGCGATTTTATGGTGAAGGATCATATTGTGCCTGCTCTGTGGCATTTGCACATTAACCTAACTCTCGCATGGAGTTCGAGCCGAAGATTCTCGAAGTATTTGCTAGTGAAACCATGCAATGTTTGGTCATATGGAGGTTTCCTAGAATGGTGGATCCCCAAGTCACACATGGGTTTCAATACTAAAATTGTCATCCATGAGTTGGATGATTTGGGGATACCCCCATGGTATCCAGATAGACTGTTGGTCTCATGATTCTGCTCTGGTCCGTGATTAGAGTGATCCATATTTGCTGTAGTTCGATGATTTTCCCATAAATGCCTTGAATTGTAGGTGATGTTACTATTATATAAAAACCTTCATTTATGGTGGATTTCCCAATATTTACCAATTTGTTCCATTCATTTCCTATGATTTTCCCATTGATGAATTTTATGCCCAGCAGCCATGGAGTTGATGACACTGCTCGAGCAGGTTTTTTGTTTAAGGCTGATGACAGCAGGGTTTGATGTTTGTAAGTCCGCATTCATGGTCAATGGTGATATCCACCATAATTATATATATATATACATAAATTATATATACATATATATAAATTATATATATATATACATATAAATTATATATATATAAATTATATATATATAAATTATATATATATATATATTGTATAATATTCTGAAATATTGTGAATAGGTTATAACTGTGGTTGCTAACCAGTTGCAATTCGTGGGAAGATCCTCCCTGCATAGATATCTCAAGTGCACCTTTCCTGCGCAGGGAGCTTCGAACCTTCCTATGTGTAGACCTCAGCTTGGGGCTTCACTCAGCCCTGTGAATTGTGTTCATCGAGCATGACACATATCCCATGACGGATCCATGTATGCAATATATGCTAACATTTGGGGTATATTTATGGTAAATGTTACCATATATAGCATACATGGATCCTATGGGATATGAAACCAAGCGAAAGCGAATATATTCGAATAGATCTTTTGGATTTCTTCATCCTGGATGAATTCAAAGGAGTCAGACAGACCGAAGCCCACGGCACGGAGAGGGAACCAGAAACCTGGTGCAAATGGAAATCATCAGCGATATGCTTTGACGGTTGATCAAACTCACCAAACGGTGAACATGGGCATAACCTGATCAACCAGACCCAATTTTTCAAGAAATGGGGGGTTCTGATGGGTTATTGCTATTATTTTCGAAAATCCACAAACTTTGAGTTAACCACAACTTAAAGCATCTTCTATCCCCAATCTCCTGGCGTTGCCGTTAAAACCGTAGGCCTGGCCGTCCACTCCGCCCATGGCCGGCATTGATACCACGAGGCACGGCGTAACGCTTATTTCACGCAACAGATTATGAAAGATCACATGTTTTAGTGGGTAAAACTGTAAACATGTTTTAAAAAATATTTCACTTCGAATGTCCCCAACATGACATTTATACATTGTCTTACTGCAAATCTTCTGGCATTCTATCTGACATATCTTCTGGCATATCTTCTGGCATATCTTCTGGCATATCTTCTGGCATATCTTCTGGCATATCTTCTGGCATTCTATCTGGCAAATCTTCTGGCATTCTATCTGGCATATCTTCTGGCATTCTATCTGGCATTCTATCTGGCATATCTTCTGACATATCTGGCATTCTATCTTTCTGGCATTCTATCTGGCATATCTTCTGGCATTCTATCTGACATATCTTCTGACACATCTTTCTGTCTGGCATATCTTCTGACATTCTTTCTGACATTCTTTCTGGCATTCTATCTGGCATATCTTCTGACATTCTATCTGACATCTTTTCTTCCCGTTGAGGTCCGGCAGTGCCCACTGCGATCTGGAAGTCGCGGTTGAGGTCCGGCAGTGCCCACTGCGATCTGGAAGTCGCGGTTGAGGTCCGGCAGTGCCCACTGGGATCTGGAGCTCGCGGTTGAGGTCCGGCAGTGCCCACTGGGATCTGGAGCTCGTGGTTGAGGTCTGGCAGTGCCCACTGCGACCTGGAAGTCGCGGTTGAGGTCCGGCAGTGCCCACTGCGATCTGCAACTCGCGGTTGAGGTCCGGCAGTGCCCACTGGGATCTGGACTGCGAGGAGGAGGAGGAGGACGAGGAGGAGGAGGATGCGGAGGCGGAGGAGGAGGAGAACAGCTCTGATAAAATCTAACAACCCTCACCTGGCAGGTGGGGAAAAAATCATCTATTTCTATAGGCCATGGCTTCCACAGAAAACTGATAATAATTTGATTACATGGAGATAATAATGGGATAATTGTTGGGATAGTATGTATAGAATAATATAATATGAGATAATATCTATATTGGATATCATATGAGAATATGAGAAAATTTCAATGAGGTTATGATTCGATATATATATATATGTTAAACAAAAAACCATACTTGGGGGTTCTAAATAGAGGGTTTAACCAAGCAAAGGTAGGGGTCTATAACCAACTCTATGGGTGTGTCTGAAGGTACGGTATGCCCCCGTAAATGAGCATCAGCTGAGATCAGTTGAGTAAGGACACTGTTTCACAGTTGAGAGGTGGATTTCGGGGTACCCGGGGTACCCTATTTGCATACCAACCCTCTGGTAAACGTTTGCATAACTATGGAAAATCATGATTTTTAATGGGTAAATCAACTATTTCTATGGCCATTTTCAATAGCTATGTTTGTTTACCAGAGGGTGTATTTTTTTCTGTCGACCGACAGTGCAGCTGACATGCTCCCAGACCAGAGTTCTTGACGGCTCGTTTCAAATGCATTTTGCTCCCCCAATGCACTGAAGAGACATTGGGTCGTCAGATGTTCTCACAATTTCCCAAAGATCTAGATTGCTTCCCTCAAGTCTGTTACACTGTTCTGATTCTTGTGTGACATTTACATCATAGAGTTCATAGTCTTGGTTGTTCGGAAAATATCCTCCCAGTACACTTTCCCTTGTTGCTGGTGTTTTCCATATTCTGTCCACGCCCCAGCCCCAAAAAATGAGATAATGATCCCCTTTTGTTGCAAGATGTGTCAGCAATACGTGGCTCCACCAAACAGGTTTTTGGCTTGCGTGAGTCACTTCCTAATACCTGCGTCAAGAATGGTTCAAGTCATTGATTTATATCTCATTCTGGAGTCACCCTCTTCAATCTTTCTGGAAACCTTTCTGGTATTGATAAAATCTGATAGAGTCACCATCATCAGTATACCTCCATGGTTGCTCTCATCTTGGGACCAGTTGGGTATGAATCAAAGCCGATGAAATACATTGAAATACCATAACTAGTATTATATAACATGAGAAATACCATAATATGTCTACATTATATTCTATATATGAGGGTTTCTTTAAATGATGATAATGGTGGTACCCCGAAAACCATGGGTTTCAATACTAAAATCCTCTTAAAAAAATGGATGATGCCTGGGGGTACCCCCATGACTTTCGAAAAAGCTCCGCCACCAGGCTCCAGCAACTCCACCAAATTCAGTTTGAGCTGATGAACGGGAAGGGCTTGACCCAAGCTCCCGCTGCTGCGCCATGGTTTGGTGGCCCAAGAGACCCCATTGGATCTCCTGAGACGCCCCGGTAGGTAGGATCCTGTTGGAACATCGTCAATGATCCCCTTATTTAGCGGGATGAGAGAAGAATTATACAAACTCCGAAAGAGCCATGATTTTCCCCGACTGGATGACCTAACATCACGATTGGACCGAAATCTGCGGTATTTTGTGTCTGGGATGATGATCCTCACTTGACTTTCGCGAAGCTGTCTTTTTCGGAAGGCTTGAAACCACCAGCGGGGATGGTTCTGCTGCCAGCAGATGGGTTTACTTTGGCGTCCCAAAGATGGAAAAGCTCGTTCAGCGTATTCTGAATGGATGAGTCAATGGGGAGATGACTTTTCATGGTGTTTTTTTCTGGACCACTATATTGGTTATATAGGTTCAAACTTGCATCCCAGGAAACAGAGGCGGGAAGACTTGAAGCTATTTGATGTTCTGCACTGGCCATTACTTTTTTGACATGTTTGAATACTGTATGAATACCTATATTGTACATTAGTGTACTGTAGCTTTGTATTCAATAATACAACAAAACAGCTTGGATTGTGAACAAAGCAGGCAGTATTCATCTCGTGGCATGCCTTGTTATACCGTACCTTGTTTTAGGACGACATGAACACAGCAACTTCTACAAAGATGGAACAGTCGAATTCCACCAAAATAGTGGTACCCTCCAGTAAACTAACTTTTTATTTTTATTGGGTAAATCAACGACAAATGGCCATTTTCAATAGCAAACTCTTAGTTTACCAGAGGGTAAGTTGAAAAATCCATCCTTTTTTGGAGGTCGCGGTATAGTTATCCCCAAATAGATGGACAAGTAAATCCCTACAAATTTATAGTGACGGACAATCACTTAGAACGTATTTTGGAAAAACATTTTCTGAATATTACTGCTTTTTTTACGTTCTAAGCCTTGCACTTAGAACGTCGAAAACCATACACTTAGAACGTCCAAATATCAAGATTCATCACTTAGAACGTACCGAGGATTTAACACTTAGAACGTGTCTAGGTCACTGATGATAGTGGAAAGGCTTGTGAAATCATGTTGCCGCACTCAGCGAAGCCACTCAGGGACCAAATAGACATGTATTGGTGACGCACTTCAAGAAGCTATGTGTATATATATATACGTGTGCATACATATGCTGACAATTGTTTACAAGTGCATACATGCAGTACATATAGAGTTCCAAGGGCTTTGTCCAAACCACAACACTCCCCCTGCCGCATTGCCGGCCATTTTGACGTTCTAAGTGATGAATTTTCCCTACGTTCTAAGTGATGAATTTTTGACGTTCTAAGTGATGAATTTTCCCTACGTTCTAAGTGATGAAATTTTGCTACGTTCTAAGTACGAAAAAAAAATGGAAAAAAAAATACGTTCTAAGTGATTGTCCGTCACTATAATGGTGGTTTACTTTTCCATCTATTTGGGGATGACTATACATTTGAAAAACACGTTTTTTGTTTTTCGTTCACCGAGGTCAGAACGATCACTGCCGGACTACACCGCAAGCACCTCTTGTGGTACAGGCGGCGGAACGATCGAATCCAAAGAGATGCGGATTTTCTTCGCATCAATGGGGAGGTAGTGGGGATCGAACCAATGATGTTTTTTTTTTTCAAATATCTGTGTTGCCATCTGCTAGTGGATGGCAATATCATCCCATATCAGCCTAAAATATCTGTGGTTTCAACATGTTAGAGGGCCTAATGGCATGATGAGTCCGATAGTCCGATTGACTACTGTAATATATGTGTTCAGATGGGTCAACCAGTTTAGCTTGATTAGTTTATGAATAGGGATACCATGGGATGCCAAGATTTGTTTTCAGAGTTAAGGCTTCAGGATTGTTAAATATGTTTGACCTAGCCATGCACATATTCACTGATCACTTGTGGTGGTTACACCATATCAATATCAATCGTTTTCTCTTGCCGTGAATGGCAAAATACGGAGACACAAATTAGTCAATCATGACGATATATCAATATTACATATATGTATAATGTTGTTTTCAACTCTGATATAAAGATATATATACATAATAATTAACATTAATTTACACAACTTTCTTCGGCAGTTTCGTTTCGACTACCGCTGCAGGTAGTCTCAGCAACTACTCTTGCAGCTTGGAAGGTGGGCAACGGGGAACTCTTCTGGCCGGTTACCCTCTGTGAAATCATGGCACGAACGAACAGGCCATCGGTCTACGTTGTTTTTTTTTTAAGGGTGGCAACTATTGGAGAGGATGGGGAACATGATGATTTTTTTTAACAAGAAATGATGTGTTTCATATTTAAGCTAGAAATGATGGCTAGGGCTTTTCCAACTGGTTAAATTGCGATTCTGAACTACTCACTAATCCGGGAACTGGGAATCAAGCCAGAAAACAACCAGCAGAATCGGTTGGAAGAAGATTTGGGCACTACTTGGTGGCTCATCCCACTTAGTAAGTGGGTTATAACCCCAGTTATAAATAGGATAAGCAGGGTTAATCCACTTATAACTGGGGTGAGCTAACCCACTTACAAAGTGGGATGAACCACCAAGTACAGACTGGCTTGATTTCTTAATCACTCGAAGTTATGACTAAAAATCACCAACTGGCTGATGCCACGCTGCCACAGCACTGAAACTTATGACAACTTCATATCAAGTTACCAGATAGTGCCCGGCCGGTGCCGGGGCGGAAGTTTTGGAACATACAAATGGCTTTCAGAAATCAATGGCCTATGGGAAAGCTCTTGAGATGCGGAAGCAATATGAAGCAATGACATGTTGAAATGGTGAGGTCCATCAACCAATGAGCAAATGGTGGCTGAGACGCCAATGAACTGACATGAAGGAATCCATGCACAACCGATCGAATGAACCAATGACAATGAATCGATGAATCAATGAACCAATGAATCAGTGAATCAATGAAGCAACGAAGCAATGGATCAATGAATCAGTGAATCAGTGAACCAATCAACGAGTAAATAGTGAGTCGATGAGTCAATGAATCCATGAATGAATCAATGCATCACTCTTGATGATTCAGTGCATCATTGCATGTCTCGGTTGTGAATGAGTGAGTCGATGAATCAATCAATGTTTCAATGAATCAACGAATCAGTACAATAAGATATAATCAGTGAGTTAGTGAGTCGATGAGTCACTGAATCAGCGCATCAATCAATCAAAGAACCAATTAATGACTCAAATTCATCAATGAACCAGCGCATCAATGAATCGATGAATCAGTGAATCAATGAATGTGTGAATTAGATGGAATTAGTGGGTTGATGAATCAGTGCACCAGTATATTTTATGAATGAGTAACTTTGTTAGTCGATGAACCAATGAATCAGTGAATCGGTGAATCGATGGTTGCGTGGACCGCTGCGTGAAGCAAATGATTCAATGATTCAGTGAGTGGATGGTTCAATGAATCAATGGGTCAATGAATTAGTGAACTAGAGATTCGATGAATCAATGAATCAATGAATCAACGAATGAATGGATGGATGGAGGAATGAATGGATGGATGAGTGAGCTGCTTGTACTTCTTTGCTGACCTACTTCTTTACTGAGCGACCTTTTCGCTGAGGTACCTCTTCTCTAAGCTACCTCTTTTCTGAGCAGCCCCCTATCTGCGCTACTTCTTCTCTGACCCTGCTCTGAGCTGCCTCACAGCTACCTATTCTGTAGCTTCTGCAACCGAATTCTTTTCTTTGCGCAGCTGTTACAATGCGTTTAGCAACCTCCAGCTGCAGTCCCGCATAGCACAAGAGTAGCACTATGGTCTAAGAGTCCAAAACTACCTTTCGCGGAGCTGTTACAATGCGTCTAGCAGCCTCCAGCTGCAATCTCGCATAGCAGGAGCATCGCAGAATCGCACATTGCTGCGTGCAGCCGTGCCATTGCGTTTCGTCACAGCCAGTTGCAAACCCGAATAGCAGGAGCGTTCCACTAACTTGACCAACGTCGGCGCAGCGTCAACAGCGCGGACCCGACCGCACAAATCCGGGGCTGCTCCGAACGTGCCCGTTTCAAACGATTGTTTTTCTCAAATCGAGCTCTCGCTACAGTCTGGCGCACATTTTCCAAAAGTGCTTCGAACGCCCTAGTTTTTAAACATTTTCAAGTGCAGAGGCCCGGAACCGTACTGTAGAAACAGAGAACCTACTTCGGCCGCCCAGGAGAGGAAAAAACACAGTGTTTTGATGTGTTTTGCGCACATTTGCTTTTCACCCGTGAATTCACATGCTCCCGAACCGTTACACTTTGCAACTATTTGATGTTTTAGTTGACGTGGTGATGTGGTGGACATGATGATTGGGGTTGGCATGATGATGTGGTTGACATCAACATAATGGTGTGAATACTAACATAATGGCATTTTGCCAAACACCATAAAAGCATGCAACAGCTATAACTGAGTTTTATATCAGTATTGATTAGATATATGTAATCCTTTATAACTATAAACATCTCGAAACCATAGATATATTTCAGTATTAGCGGCGATCATTGAATTGCACAAGTGCGTTGGAAAAACTACAACCATAGATGAATAGCGCAATATATATATACACCAATATGTATATATGACTCTATATATATAACTATATATACATATATATAACTCTATGTTCTGTTTTAACCGTATAACCATAGATAACTATAGATAGCGACTATGGATAATACATAGTGAATAATATGGATAATACATAGTGAATAATATTACTCTTTTGTCGTAGCTATATATATTTATAGATATACATACATGTTATGCAATCTTTCAAACTACCACGGCAGATAATTTTAATGCTATTGTATTTGCAACCAATTATTTGTATATATATATATATATCACTATCGCTGGAGATAGCTATTACTAAAAGTTAAACTAGTGTTGGTAATAGTGGTACCCGTGTCATTATTGGAGTTAGTGATCCGGACATAATTTTAGACCTGTTGATATCACAGTGGTACGAATAGTAATTATAATTAGTATATAGAAACAGTGATATTAACCACTACAACTACAACCATCATTTGAGTATACAATATGTTTTCTCCGTGATAGGTATATAATGTGCATGATTTGGTACAACTGTTCGATTTTTTTTTGTTGTTATTGTTTTTTTTTGAAAAATAGATAAAGACAACTATCATATAGACATTATTAGTTTTTACTTTGTCTATATATAATATCTGAATAAATGTCATGATATTTTAATATTATTGCTATAAATTGATTAGATATAGGTAATTATATAATATAACCTATATTTACTATATTTATGATACATGTACCCTTATAGACTATAGATTTATGATGTATATATATATACTATATATAAATATATTATAACTATGTTGTCATATCACTGTATGATAATCCTGTATAACATATATATATACACACCATATATAAAGGATAAGTATAACTCGAACTGTTCATCCTTTAGACCATCGGCAAACAACGCGCCCGCTGAAGGCGCTGCGCGCAGTGCGTTGGACCTGGACCCTGCAAAGGTGGACCCTGAGGCGCGGCGTGCCCAACGCAGGGGAAACAGTGGATGCCAACGTCCCGTGGATTCGTTCCTGTATTATCCTCCGGTAAACTAACATAACCATGGAAAATCACCGTTTTCAATGGGAAAATCCACTATAAATGGCCATTTTCAATAGCTATGTTAGTTTACCAGAGGGTAATCACCCAAAAAAAATGACAAGAAAACCGTGTTGCGAAGGAATAACTAATGACACATATGACATGTCGGTTTTTCTAAGACCTAGGAGAAACAAAGAACAAATTCCTCAAGTCGGGTCCAGTTGCCTTGGAGTCACCGTATTGGATAGCAGGGCCAGTATTTGTAGTCCTTAATGTATCTTTATCTTGACTATAATATGTACCCTCTGGTTATTTAACATAGCCATGGAAAATGGCCCATGGAAATAGATGGTTTACCTATTAAAAATGGTGATTTTCCATGGCTATGTTAAATAACCAGATGGTAAATTCTCGTGACGTCACTGTGACCTCACTGTGACCTCACTGGAATCAAGTTAGTACTGTAAGGGGATGTAAGGGGTATATCCCAAATGGCCTTGTTTCACGTTCGTGGAATAGTGTAATTTACCCATATACACATATGCATACACCAGTTCCCTATGTAATCTGATCGCATCAAGTTCAGCTTCATAAAAACAGAGTCAATTTGTTTCAATTGGCACTCAATATCCAACCTATATGTTCAACCCTACAATGATAGACGCCTGTTATTAATAACTAATGGGGGGTTACCCCCAAATAGTGATAATTTGCAATCAGAATGGTACCCCCACAGTTATGCACGCTCAGTGGTTAATTAATCCAGGGGTGACATTAAGTAATTGACCTAGACGCAATTATAATGCCTATAAATATACTGTTTGCCGGTGTTTTGGCATAAAACAAGACACATCTGCGGGTTTCCTAAAATGGGGGTACCCCCAAATCTCATTCATTTTTTTGGTGATTTTCAACAAAGACCATCTATAGCTATTGGGGTACCCCCATGACTCATAGAAAGCCCCATCTCACGAACTCAGCGT